GCGTGGGAAAAAAAAAGGTGAGCAAAAACACAATTTTTAAACAGACATATACACCATGACAGACACAGAAACACACATATACCATGACAGATACACACCCCATGACAGACACACACACCATGACAGACCATGACACAGACAGACCCACACATACACACCATGACACAGACAGACACACACCCCATGATGGACAGACACACACCCCATGACAGACAGACACACACCCCATGACGGACAGACACACACCCCATGACAGACAGACACACACCCCATTACACAGACAGACACACACACCATACAGACAGACACTATGACATAGACAGACAGACACACACACACACCATACAGGCAGACACACACACACACACACACCATACAGACAGACACCATGACACAGACAGACACACACATCATAACAGACAGACACACACCCCATGACGGACAGACACACACCCCATGACAGACAGACACACACCCCATGACAAACAGACACACACACCATGACGGACAGACACACACACACCATGACACAGACAGACAGACAAACACACACACACCATGACAGACAGACAAACACACACCATACAGACAGACATCATGACACAAACAGACACACACACACACACACCATACAGACAGACACACACACACACCATACAGACAGACACCATGACACCCTGACACACAATACTAATACCTGCCTGGGGGCGGTCTTCTGGAAGCCGCTGGGGAGCAGAGACAGCGCAGCTCCCCCAGCGGCCGCCAGTGGAAGTCCCCCAGCGGCCGCCAGCAGACCTCCCCCAGCGGCCCGGCCCCAGGTACTTCCCAGGAGGGAAGTGGTGACAGGGGGCTGAGTGAGGGAAGGAGGGGATGACGGGGGGCTGAGTGAGGGACGGACGGGATGACGGGGGCTGAGTGAGGGAAGGAGGGGGTGACAGAGGGCTGAGTGAGGGAAGGAGGGAGTGACGGGGGGCTGAGTGAGGGAAGGAGGGGTGACAGAGGGCTGAGTGAGGAGGTGACAGGGGCAAAGTGAGGGATGGAGAGGGTGACAGGGGGCAGAGTGAGGGAAGGAGTGGGTGACAGGAGGCAAAATGAGGGTGTGTGTTAAGAACGCTGGTATGTCAGATACCCATTCGCTTCCGGTTCCTCCTGAACTGCTAAAAGCTGATTGATTATAGCTCGCAGTTTGGGTATTGATTCAAACGTTCTCCAGAAGACAATGCAGATTCTCCCAGCAATCAGACGCATACCCAAACATCAGCCTAAACTAGATGAAGAGTACAACAGGAATGAATTTATTCAGGTCAACTGGCCGGTTTATATGCAAGTCCCCATGCAGGGGATTTTTCCAGGACATATTCCAGGGGCATTCCACACTCAACCTGAGAGGGGACTATGACAAAATACACTCTGTAACTACATTGACTCTCAGTTCTAGGACACAAAACAAGATAATCCCTCCCCTGTGTCTGTGAGATAATTGAGTCAGGAACTGTACTAAACTTAATTATCTCAAGACACAAAAAAAACATACATTTTAATAACACACCGAAAATACATCCAAAACACATGGAAACCCCACAACAGTCACATCCCCTGATAGCCCAGATCTGGGGGACCAACATATCCAAAAATCACCCAGATCGGTTCAGGGGTTCGGGATTTCCATAGAAGTCATATTTTGACCGACCGCATACAAAGTCTTATGTCCAAAACAGTTCTACAGTTTCAGAGGTAGCGGTTTGTCTATTTCAGGGAGTTCTAAAACCGGACAAATACACGAACTGTTCCCCTGGCTCATGGGTAGAGTTTGTTCCCCTCGTTCGTGGGAACAAACCTACCAAATAGCTCTCTCCAGGTTGGTCGGTGGAAAAATGCAAGCGTTCGCTATGTTGACCGCCGTTCGGAAAGTCAAGTGTCCAATTTTAGTTCCAGACACTCGACGACCAAGTCCCGCTGCCTCCGTGCAGCAAGATGGTCGCCGTTTTCTCCAGCACGTGGCGTTCGGCCATACGAACGGCACCCACACAGAGAAAGCACTTAATCTGCAGTTCCCTTTGTAATTAATGAGTCAGGGGGGTGGTCAGTGTTTGGTAGTTTTATCTACTGAACGAGAAAAATCCAAGTTAACAAACAAAACAGGGTAGTTTCTTCACAGGGTGACATGGACAGAGTGAGAGAAATGAGGGGGTGACAGAGGGCTGAATGGGGAGTAACAGGGGAAAAAGTGAGGAAAGGAGGGGTAAAGAGGAGGGGGATTAGTCATGTGGGCTGTCATTCTATCTGGTGGTCCAGTGGCCTTCCTATCTGCTCTGCAGCGGGTGTGAGCTGCAGACCACGTGATAGGAGTCTTGTGATCTCCAGAAGTCAGAGCGTTGCCGGGGGTTTGGCTGGGGATCGCGAGACACCTCAGTCTGCAGTTCACATCCGGCAGACCTGCAGACTGAAGGCTGGCTCTAAGAGCAGACTGGATGGGCCTCGCACCCGGCGGCACACAGGGCAAGCTGCTGGGCCCCCTCCCAATTTCGGGCCCTTGGTCATGAACTAATTAGAGAGCTGCCTCTGATAACTTCTTAATATTGTGGGTAATTAGGGGACTATCTACTAAACGGCTGCAAGATGCAACCGCGGTCCAAATCAGAATTTCATGTAATTCCTTAAATATTGTGCTAAGTAATATTTGGTGGGATTTATTATTGATTTACCTGGGGGACCAAGGCACCCATAGGCATGCGCATGGGGTGTGCCTGGGCACATCCTAATCCCCACAGCACGCCTATGGATTGAGTGAGTCCTGCAGGAACAGCGTTCCTGCACTTTATTTTGAGCAGGACCGCTGTTCCTGCAGGCACTCAGCGCCCCCAAATGCCCCCCTTCCTCCCCACGTGTTGCCCCTGACATGGAGGGGGGGGCAAGAGGTGATGGATCCCCCCCCTCTCCATCTCAGACGCGGCGAGGGAGTTGTCTGCTCTCTGCTTCCTTTCGCCGCGCGCCGTTTGCTGATGCCGGGAGCCGGAATATGATGTCATATTCCGGCTCCCAGCTACTGTAGACAGCCCGTGCGGCGAGAGGAAGCAGAGAGCACACAGCTCCCTCGCCGCGTCTGAGATGGAGACAGGCGCCCGACCCACTGGACCCCAGGGACAAGTCCACGCCAGCACTCCAGGTAGGGAGGCTGGGTGGACATTTTTTTATTAAAAAATAATAACTTGTGAATGTGTGTGTGTGTATGTGTGTCTCTGTATATGTATGTGTGTGTGTGTTTCTGTGAATGTGTGTCTGTGAATGTATGAGTGTGTGTCTGTGAATGTGTCTGTGAGTGTGTGTGTGTACGTATATATATATATATATATATATATATATATATATAAATACACACACACACGAGTGTGTATTATTTTTTTTGGGGGGTGGGAATCTTGGGAGAGTTCCCACACATTATTCTCCTGATCTCCCTTGTCGGCTCACGCAGAGCCGGCGCTGAGCGCCGGCTCTGCTCTAAGCCTCCATGGGCCGGCAGGGAGACCAAAGATCTACCTCACGGCACACAGCAGCATGGAGGGAGGCAGGAGAGGACCCAGGGAGCTCTAGACAGCAGCTCCGCCAGGTTCCTCTCGCGATATCTGAGCGTTGCCACAGCAACGCTCAAAACACGCGAGAGTTAACTCTAGCCCCACAGGCTAGAGTTCACTCTCCACTGGACCACCAGGGATGGCACATGTCAGCAAGGATCCCCCCTCTCTACATAAGGTCAGAAGGGAGGGAGGATATTTACTAATCTGCCTCCACAATCCCTCCAAACATACAGCACACACACACATACAGCACCCACACACATACAGCACACTAACCGCACCCTCACAAACACACACAGCACCTTTAAAAAAAAAACACAACACCCTCACACACAGCACCCTCACAAACACACACACACAAACAGCTCCGTCACAAACACACACACCCTCACCCACAAATCACACTAACAGCACCCTCACACACACATCACACTAACAGCACACACAGCAGTGTATATATGTGTGTGTGTGTGTGTATATATATATATATATATATATATATATATATATATATATATAAAACAAGAGGAGGTTGGCTGCACTCACCTTAACATGCATAAATGGGGGTGCTGCTGGGGGCCAAATAATACAATACACAAGATCCAGCGCACTCACTTATCCACTAAACAGCAACTTCAATGTTGAAAGATTTTATTTGTTTTTTTTTAAAACACCTAATCTAGGCAAAAATAATGGGGGTTTAGTTACATTATATGATCATAGCCTGCCAAAGATGGGGTACATTGACGTTGTGGCAGGCTTATGCAATGTATGATCATATAATGTAACTAAACACCCATTATTTTTGCCTAGATTAGGTGTTTTTAAAAAAACAAAATCTTTCAACATTGAAGTTGCTGTTTAGTGGATAGGTGAGTGCGATGGATCTTGTGTATTATATATATATATATATACACACACATATACATGCGGCATGTGTTTGTGCTTTAGGGTGCACACCCTAATACAATAGGCTGCGCACGCCTATGAAGGCACCCCTTTTATAAATTGTCTTGGTGGTGGCAGGGTTAAAATAGTTATATTATTATGTTTAAGTGTGGGTGGTGTTAAAATGCAGGATTTTGCCATTATTTCCGGTCTAGTGCAGACAAATAGTGTACTTTAACCCTTCCACCACCACAACTACGTCACGCACACTCTTGGAGTAGGGTGCGTTGGTGACACAGTCCTCTGCAATTTGGAGTTTAGTAAATAAACCCATGTATTTCCTTCTACTTATTATTAAGATACTTGGCATTCTAGAACCATTTCAAATAAACAGTAATTGGTAAAATGAACTGTCAACACGGCATGCTATGTATAATAAACTCCAATTCTCCCCATTCTCCAGGATGCAAACCATAACCTAAACCCTATTGAATACGGTTTCCTGTGACAGCAGCTTCGATCCTCCTCCCCTCCTCTCCTCTCTCAGACGGTCCTAGCTAGGAGGAGTCAGTGTGTGATACAGCTGCTGCGGCCTGTCCGTCCCGCTACCATAGGCTCACTGAGGTCAATGGTAAGTGGGGGGACCTGCAGCAGACCCGACGCGATGTGTCACCGTGGAGCGAATAGCGTCACGTAGACCCGCAAAGAGCGCTTCACAGAGCTGGAGGTGGTGCTGCAGCCCGAGCGCAGGAAGGGGCTGATAGAAGCGGCGCACACCGGGGCGGGAGGGGAGCACCTGACCCGGCATCAGACATGGCACAACCTGTCCCAGACCTACTGGTGGAGGGGTGAGAGCACAGAGCACATTGGGGAGTGGGGAAAGGCCTCCTGTATTACACAGATATCCCAAGGTGACTCTTCCAGCATGTGTCTATTAAATTTATTTTAATTTTCATTCATGTTAAATACATTTTATTCCACTTGTCACCAATTCATTATCTGTATGGATAGTATCTTATAAAATGCACATTGTGTCAGATTTATCACAGCAAAGCAGTTGCTAGTTTGGTGTAAAGTACTAAATGTTGAGGTATACTGTTGGTTTCCATGGTGATTGCTCCTTATTTAGCACTGTACAATTAGAATAGAACATGCTTTTGCTTTGAAAAATATGGGGCTGTATAACTGTAAGACCCTTGTAAACCGATCAGCTGACACTCTTTGCTATTTAATTCTCTCCAGAGTTGGACAAAATCGATATTGCCAAACGGAATGAGGAACATCCAATCTAATGATATCTGTGAATAAGGGTTTGAACCCAAGTCAAATCTCTAAAATGCTGTATTTATTATTGGAATGCTTGTTACTGGGGACACTGATTTTTCTAGTCGCTCGCTATTCATTACCTTTTATTTAACCTGATTTTATTTTCTCTTCTGTAAACCAGTGAAATAAAATTAAAGAAAAAAAAATTCACAGTGGAGTAGGAGACTCATGGCTATGTACTCACTACAGTGCACTGTAGAGGTTATGGTGCTTAGAGTTTCTATTTAAGATAAAGCTTGCCCTTAGTATATCTTTTTTGGTCCTTAACCACGGTTTTTAATTTTTATCTACATTGTTATGCAATTTACACACAGGTTTAAAGAAACAATTATTATTCTTTATATAGCGCCAACATATTCCGCAATGCTTTACAATGATAGAAAGGGGGATATATAGTGAAGAACGCACTGCTTCTGTTTTGCCCAAGGACATTTACTGGCGAGGTGGTCTGACCTGGATTCGAACCCAGCTTTCTTAGTTCCTAGTTACCATGCTCTTCTAGGTTGAAGGAGCACTATAGTGTCAGGAATGCAAACATGTATTCCTGATACTATAGTAATAAAATAAGTTTAGGTTGGCGGTCCTAAGATTTAATGGTAAATTTACTCACCGTTTCCCAACACTGTGCTGGTCTCCTTGCAGCTGGCTCTGCCTCCTTGGCTGAGCTCAAACTTGATAATCTCAGCCTATCTAATGCTTTCCTACAGGAAAGCGTTGGGAGGCTTTGGCACATGCGCAGCAAAACGCAGCACTGCATCAATTAGGATATCCTCATAGGGATGCATTTAATCAGTGCATGCAGAGCGTGGAGAGACTGAAGGTCATGACCCAGGAAGAACCTCTAGTGGCCATCTGAGGGCCTGCCACTAGAGGTGTTACTAGGCAGTAATGTAAACCCTGTCTTTTCTCTGGACAGGCTGTGTTTACATTAAAAAGCCTGCAAGGACAGGCTATAGACACCAGAACCACTACATTAAAGCGACACTGTAGGCACTCAGACCACTTCAGCTTATTGAAGTGGTCTGGGTGCACTGTCCCATCACCTTTAACCCTGAGCATGTAATTATTGCAGATTTTAATAAATTCTGCAACAAATACCTGCTAGGGTTAACTCCTCCTCTAGTGACTGTCTACCAGATACTAGAGGAACTTCCGAGTGCTTAAACGACCCCTTAAACAGTCACACACGCTCAGTTACAGGCAGACAGTCACAGAGCCAAACACACAGTTAAAAGCAGATAGTCACACACAGTTACAGGCACACAATCACGAACAGTTACAGGCACACAGTTACAGGCACACAATCAAAAGCAGACAGTCACACATACTTCATTTAAAGCAGACAGTCATACACACTCGGTTAAAGGCATGCAGGCACTCACGCTGATAGGCACACACACAAAGTTAAAGGCAGGTAGTCACACATACAGGCACACACAACGGCACAGCTACAGCGACACACACAATTGGAGTCACAGACACACAGGGAGGCAGTCACACAGACGCGCAGAAATACACAGGCGCACACACAGGCAGACTGTCACACACCGGCAGAAAGTCACATACACACAGGGAGGCAGTCACACACACAGGCAGGCAGACAGGCAGACAGTCAAACACACAGGCAAACAGTCACACATAGGCAGTCAGACAGTCACACACACAGGCAGTCAGTTACACAGACAGACTGTCACACAGGCAAACAGTCACACAGTCACACACAGGCAGACACGCACACACTTACCTCTTGCCATTATGGCTGGAAGGGGGAGTGGATGCAGTCGGATGATGGGGAAGCAGGACTCCTTCCTTCTTCCTGTACCGGAGTTACCAGGGGCCTTGGGTATGTATTAGCCCCGCCTCTGCCTCCATGTAAGCCCCGCCTCCTGATAAGCCCCGCCCCTCCACCTCAAATTTAAAAAAAATGTTTTTATAGACCCGGGTGGAGAATAATTAATCCTCCACCTGGGTACCTGCTTTAGGTCTCCTGACACTGGCCATGTGCGAGCTGTCGGTGGCATGGCACCCTGTGCGGCCGCACAGCTCGCACACCCCTAAGGCCTGCCCTGATTAGGTCCCCCCTGCCGGCTGATGTTGGCAGGTTAAAAGTGCGGGCGGAGCCTGACCCAGTGCCGAGGGAGATTGGCGCTGTATTAAGGTAAGTGACTAAAATGTTTTAACCCCTTCAGCATCGCGGGAGGGGGGTACTGTAGGAACCTATAGTGCCAGGAAAACGGCTTTGTTTTCCTGGCACTATAGAATCTAGTATGTAGTTGTTCTGGTTACTGTAGTGTCCCTTTGAAACAGCCAAACTGAAAACATAGATGACTTGGGGAATATTTCCATTTCAACCATTTTAGCCTAAAACCTGAAATTCCCAACAATTCATTCTCTCGGAAGACGTTCACTAAACTCTGAAGTCTAATGAATTAACATCTGAATTGCATAATTGAGACTAATGTAGATGTGTTGAAAATTTTTTTGATTAAAGGATCACTATAGTGTCAGGAAAACAAAGCTAGAGGCCACTAGAGGCTGGATTAACCCCAATGTAAACATAGCAGTTTCTCTGAAACTGCTATGTTTGCATCTGAAGGATTAAAACCTGAGGGACCTGGCACCCAGACCACTTCATTGAGCTGAAGTGATCTGGGTGTCTATAGTGTCCCTTTTAAATATTGCAGATCCATTTACAATTAACTACAGTTTGGTATTTAGTGAATAAACATCTAATTTTCTAGAGCAATTCAGAAACCTTAATCTAAATTTAGAAATGTATCCTCCAGGTTACTCCATACAACCCTTGACTAAAAAGTAAGTACATGACAATTCACTTGCTAGTTAATAACCCTGATAGGTGCCAGCCAAATTACAGAAGTTGTAAATCTCTTAATTTTTGTGCCAGGAGTACAAGGTTACTCTGCTTTGAAATGTAGAAAAATAGAATCGGAGACACAAGATTTTTTTTTTTTTTTTTTGAAGCATTTGTTAATTTGCTTCCTTCAGAAAAGTCACTGCCGGAAGTGTATGCTTCCATTTAATTATTTTAATAAAAAAAATGTTTTGATGCCTTTACTGTCCCTTTATATTGTGATTTGTAAACATAAAGACTCTTTCTTGTTATAACTTAAGTTAAAGATGCTCATTGTACTTAGATTTGCAGAATGACAAAAGGATTAAGGTATTTTTCTGAACTTTGTACCACAAGGCGGGGTGGGGGATTTCCTGTAGTGTAACTGAAAATGAAGCAGTAGTTTATTCACCGTTTGAGTGCTGTATATATTAGGGTTATTCACTAAAGTGACAATTTAATGTAAATTTAAAATTTAAGCCCAAAATAGCTGAATTAGAAAAAATCCATAAGTAAGACATCTCTCCACTTTCTAAAACACACTTTGAATTCTCACTTTAGTGAATAACCTTGAAAATATGTAACATTAAAAAAGCTATAAACATATTCCATTGTAAATAATATTTTGGGTGCAAAAAAACCCATTAAATTGACTTTGGTTGGTAGGATTAAAATGTATTCTTTGGGAAATATATAAAAATCCAGATACAACCATACACGTAGTGACTGTTTTATTTTGTTGATGTTAAAACACCAAATTTGAAGCTATTTATTTTGGTTAACATTGTAACTTTTTGTTCTCACAGTATAATGAATGAACGTGATTGGAATGCGTTGGGTCAATTTGACCTACAATGAATGTGCCACGCGTATCCATATGTATTATGTGGATATGGAAGAGACTGCTGGAAAATGTGGTGCTCGTTCTTCAGACTCCAGATAATCTTTGTGATTCTGACTGGGTTAGCCGTGCTCGTATTAGTTAACAACATCCACCTAGTAGAGGTAAGTTATAATCTTAAAGAGTTCAACTTTGAATAATCCTATTTCTTTACTACAGACCCAAAGGTATTGTGTAGTTTTCAATGTCATATTGAAATCATGGTGTGGGGGCGGAGCCTGACTGCCATTCTTGCCTAAATCGACGACTTGCGGCCCACAATTACAGACATCAGGCAGCCAATGCTGGTCGGTAACCAAGTGGACCCCTCGGTGGCTGTTCTTGCTGTTCCTCTTACCAAGTTCGGCGGATCTTGTTGGGGACTGACCTGCGGCCTAGCAGGGGCCTACGCACGGACGAGGTGAGGGAATCGGCTGATCCCTCTACCTTCTGGCAACAATACAGCTCGGAGTCTCTCCACTATCTCCCCTTCTCCCACCTCCCCTACCGGTGAGAGATATCCCTATAATCATTACCTGTGCTGCGGTGACAGCCTTTCAGCAGTACCCTCTCGACTACAGCCCTCCTGCCTCCTACACAATGGCGGACGCCACATGTGAACTCACACTACGAAATCTGAAGCCTTCAGTCATGGGAAAAAAAGGCACAGACTGTTTGCAGACTTTTGGTCAAGGCTCGCCTGTCTCATGGAAACTCCGGTGGAGATTCAGAAGGCACCTACCCTGCCTCAGTCAACTCAGCAAAGTGTACCTCTACCTTATGATGGAGGTACCTTCAAGATGGCTCCTAACTTGACTACACCAAAGCGACAGCCGCGGAAACCGCACTACCAGCAGAGGAGGCGAGTTGTGGACTGACGTCCTGCCCGCCGCTGTCGTGGAGTGCCGAGTGCCACTATACACAGAGTGTCAGTACTAAGCTACATGAAGAGACCACTACAGTCACCTCTGAGCTGCTCCTCATGATCCCTGTGGCTGGGTATCTCCTCACCAAGTGAGCGTGTAGCCCCCTGGCGAGTCACTTCCATGCTGGACAGTGATGTATACTCTGTGGGCATAGGCATAAAGGGGTTAATTCAGTGGGCATGTATTCCTGAGGTCCTGTCTCTACATTCTACACCCCCTGGGACATTTTCACTGTAGGTAGACACATATGCTTCTGATACTCACCTCTTGCATGTTTTCAGTTATATTTTAGTTTAATTTACATGTACAAGCTTATACCATGCTATATAATTTCTTCTTTATTGAGTTCTAAGCAACTTACTTTTTCTTGCAACCTATAATTTAAAAATAGTGCAGTAATCTTGACATGCATTGCTAAACCTCTCTAACACTCCACACTGTTGAAATATGACAAGTCTATGCAGTGGTGTACACACGATCCATGGGGCCCCGGTGCGAAAATCGATCAATGGGCCCCACTCCCCCCCTCGGCGCTTACTCTGCGCGGGCCGGGGCCGCTACACATGGAGGCGGGCACGCAGTGTGCACGATACACATACGCTTAAAGGACCACTTAGGCACTCGGATCACTTCAGCTCAATGAAGTGGTCTGGGTGCCAGGTCCCTCTAGTTTTAACCCTGCAGCTGAAAACATAGCAGTTTTTAGAGAAACTGCTATGTTTCACAGAGGGTTAATCCAGCCTCTACTAGCTGTCTCACTGACAGCCGCTAGAGACGCTTCCGCGATTCCTCTGGACGTCCATAGGAAAGCATTGAGTAATGCTTTCCTATGGGCGGTTTGAATGCGTGTGCGGCTCTTGGAGCATTTGGAGCTGAGAGGCGGATCAGGGCGGAGAGATCCCCAGCGCCAAGTGCTAAAGGGGTTTTAACCAAACACACACACTCTCACGAACAGACGTATACACACTAGCTAACAGACACACAAATTTACTGACAGACACACATACACACTCACTTACAAAACATACTCTCACGAACAGACGCATACACACTAGCTAACAGACACACACAGTAACAGACACACAAACTAACATACTCAGTGACACACACTAACAGACACACAGTAACACACTCACTGACACACTCATATTTTTTATTTTTTTTAATTTAATCCCCAGCCTCCTTACCTTTGGGAGTGCTGAGGGGATTCCCTGGGGTCCAGTGGGGCTGCCCGGCGGCCGGTCCTGCAGGTGGCAAGGGAGCATTCTCCCCTGAGCGCTCTCTGCCCAGCTCCCTCGTGTACCACTTACTGATGCAGGAGCCGGAATGATGTCATCTTCCGGCACCGGCATCAGTGCTGTGTGCGTGAGGGAGATGGGCAGAGAGCGCTCAGGGGAGAATGCTCCCTTGCGCGCCCGCCAGCCAGCAAAGTGAAGCCACTGCCAGCCTCGGGGGGGCCCCAGGAGAGGAGGCTGGCAAAATGTGGCCACACTGTCGTACATACTGGGTCGCAGGGCGGCCAGGTCTCCTGGAGGCCCGGGCCTGGTCGCAGCCGCGACCCCTGCGACCGCGGTATGTACGTCAATGTGTCTATGCATATCTGTGATATTGAAAATGCACTTCAAAAATAAGAATGAAAAAAAAAAAAAAAAGGAATCATGGTGTCACCTGTGGTAAAATTTGAGTCTGTTTTGAGTGTGATTTACTTTACTTTACTTACTTTTAAATGGACATAGGTATTTGGGATTGTGTGCAGGTAACTTTTTTGTTAATTTCTTATATACATTTGTCTGATGAATAAACACTGGCTGTCCAAGATTAGTGTCTGTTTGAGCACAGGGCTATTTATTAAAAAAAAAAAATAATCTTAATTTCTTATATTTCTTTCCATTTTCTGTTCATATTTTTGTGGTGTGGGTACCACTTCAAAGTATAGCGGTATATGCATTCATAATTTCATATGTCCACAGTTATTTTTTATAAATATAATTATCATAAAGCTTTTGGGCAGTGTGAGGTTAGCAGACAATTATATCTCAGCGCCAAAGCCATTTGGTGTTAATGAAGTGGTATTGTTGTGTAGACCATGTCCCTTTTTCTGGAAATGTGTAAAGCATTGTTTTCAGGCAAACCGCAATGTTTACATTTGCCCATAAACATGCCTCTAGTTAGCCATTTATGGTAATATGTTACAAGGCAACCATGACCTTAATCAAGCCATAACATCACAATAAACCGTATTTTTAATAAAAGAATCATCAAGTGGCATTATGCATAATTGCAAAAAAAAAAAAAGCAAAACCGTAATATTCCTAGGAAACACTTTAACATTAAAAAAATATATATATGCACTTTTAAATGTAAGTGTTCCTTCAAAGGGTTGAAGATCACTTACCCAGCCACTAGATGTGCTTCCTGTTGCTCTGCATTAAGACACCGAGCTCCATACAGATACATTGAGCCAATGAATCTCTATAAAGAGATGCTGATTGGCACAGTGCATCTATTGTCGCGCATCTGCGCTAGCCCCTAAGTGCTTCCATAAAGTTAAAATGATCAGTTAGGACAAATAATGTAAATGAAGGTCCATGGACACACACTAACTAAAATTCCTAATAGCGGGGCCATAAATCTAAGTAGTATAATACTCTAACGTTAGGCATACATGTTGTATTCCTTTAAGGTTAACAAAATCACAAAACACTTTGAGTACAGAATATTATACTAAATAAGTCCCGATTTCAAAGACATACATTTTAATTTCTATTTCTTTTCCAGCATCTGAATCATGAAATGGACTTTGATTTAAGGCAGACGGAGGAAAATATTGATACAAACGGACCATTCTCAGAGGGGACCCAAGGAACTTATTGTGATTATCAGCATCAAGCTTTGTCTAGAGCAGAGCATGCAGAACAGGAATTGTTACTTAACTCTCTGAAGTGGCTGGGACCACCACACAATGAGAGAACATTTTTAAGCAGTACTGATGCTTCTCATAGTCGTTTTGTCATTTTACACTCCCAGTCATTGTTTAAAGTAGGCGATGTAATGGAGGTACTGGTCAGAATGCAGGATTTTGAAGGAAATCCGAAACATTATGGAGGCGATTACTTGCAGGCAAGGATTCACTCGCCTTTGTTGAAAGCTGGAGCAGTAGGGAAAGTAGTGGACCATCAGAACGGATTCTATTCTGTCTACTTTACTTTGCTCTGGCCCGGAAAGATCACTGTGTCAGTATCTTTGGTGCATCCAAGTGAAGGGATCCAGGTTCTTAAGCGTTTACGGGAAGAGAAGCCTGACCGTGTGTACTTTAAGAGTTTGTTCCGATCTGGTGAAACTGCAGAGACTAAAATGTGCAATATTTGTTTGCCTAGAAAACTGCCTGTATGCAATTACACTGACCTAAAAACTGGCGAGCCCTGGTTTTGTTACAAGCCCAAGAAATTGTCTTGCTCTAATAGGATCAATCATGCAAAAGGAGGGTACTCGAAGAATCTTTTGACCTTTGATGAACAGCTTTTCTTTCAAAGGTATTTCATATATGTCCTCTAGTAGATTATTAGCAAATATTGCTTTTCTTCTAGATAGAGAATTGTTTGCCTACAGCACCTCTGTATCTCTTCCCAATTTATACAATTCCTGTATACACAACCTGCATTTTAGTTTCCAAGTCTTATTGTTTTGTTGGGTATTAGTTGGCCCTCTGAGACTTAACTACCAAACTTGTATATACAATTCAGTACCTTATGGTAACTGCAGTAATCGATCCAATTTGTTTTGTTGTTCAAGACAAAGTAAAGCATGTTTACATTTATTAAGTAACTCTGCTGGCACCTTAAACTAATTTTAAGTGTTTATGGTGCCTGGAGTTCATGGACACATGGTCCTGTGTCACTACTAAAAGTGTATCAGAATACAACAAATCATCTATACTAACACAACAAGTGCTCGGTGATTAAAACCATTAGAAATGAACTTAGCTTTTTACAAAACAGCTTCCCCAGGTAACCTCCCCCGCTGGTTACCACGGTAGTAGAAATATGTATATAAAAAAGAAAGGGATACAAATGTATATCTAAAAAGAATATATCAATAGAAACCTAGTGTGATATTGCAATATAAAGTTAATTGACATGCTTGTTATCGATTGCACTCACAAGATGGAAGCTTTAAGATTGCTTTAAGGCTGCCTCCTCCGAGTGAAGGGGGGCTAAGGCGACCTCACTGTCACTGGTGTTCTTAATTCAAGAGCCGAGAAAGGTCAGGAATCCAGGACGATACAAAATCTTTTTTATTATACCAAAAAGAACATAGTTATCAGTAATATGAATTTTAAAAATATCATAGAGCCCAGGTACTACGCATTTCGTTCATGTATGTACTTCCTCAGGGACCTCCAATGATAAAACATACCATACAGTAAAATTTCGACATACAATAAAATACTGCCTGAATACTTCCCTCTCCCGAGTCCCATTATAAAGGAAAAGCCATTCCTGTTCATTGTTTGTTGAGTGGGTGTCCTTCCTGTTACCTCAATTGTTTAATCAATGTTTATCAATCACTTCTCATTCCTTCGTACACACCTTCCTTCCCAGCTGTAAGTCCTAATGTTACTTCATACATGCTGTTGCCAGTTTCTCATGTGTTCCAGAGCGCACTTTCGTGTGTTCCAGTAGCGTCACTTCCACCTTTCCATTCCACCAACATTAGATGTGCGTGCCATCAGAGCCTTTCTTTGGTTGCGCCTTGTAGCTCTCCATTTGTGTGGCTGGTACTGTCGGGACAGAGTCCTTTTAGTTCTCACCCCAGGTGGGCAGCGTGTATAGGTTGCGGACGCTAAAGTCCACTTTGAGCCCTTGAGAGGCTTCCCAGGCATCCCCTTGCCGCATTCCTGTTCTCCATCAGGCAAGACATGTTCCGCCATTGCTGGCCTTGTGCGTTCCAGCAACGTAGCCCAAATGTTTTTGAAAATAGCTTCTGGTGTTTATGGCTGTGTGATGGAGGCCTGGTGAGTCTAACTGAATCATCTGTAAGCCACATGTAGCAGGGCCTGATGCGTCCGCCCCCTTGGCGACCTCTGCTCCCGTCCAGCCTGGGAGTAATGCAGGACCCACTGAGGGGCACAAAGCTGTGGCAGCTCAGATCAGCGGGGACCAGGAAATTCCCCAACAGTCCAAAGGGGGGAGGGTGGGGGGCGGAGGTGAGTCGCGTTCGTACGTGTCTTGGTTCAGCGGGAGGAAATCAGCCGCCTTTCACCCACACAGTTTCTTGTAGGCTGCAACCTGCTGCCACGTCTCCTGGCTTCCCAAGGCGTCGGTTCAGGTATCAAAAGTAGCGTGCAGGAGTCCCTAGTGTGTAGGGCTCCGTAGAGTGTTTTCCAGCACTTCAGCCTGAGAAATCCCTGGTTATACCGCTCCGACAGCAGGAGCTCATGCGAGACACGTCTTGCCAGCTTGCTTGCCAGGCTCCTCCCCAGTGTGATATATTCTTAAATGTCATGATTCATATAAACTGCTTAACAAGTAATAGTTGCATATACCTGTTTCTAAACTCAAACAAGATTTTTAAAAAGCAATACATAGATGGAAAAAAATAAATAATATATATAATAAAATGTCACCCTATCAAAGGGGAAAAGACATTCTAACTAAATGTTTCTTTAAGCCGACAGATGGTAATAGCTATGTCCATCGGACTAGCTGTCACCAGTGGTCATGGCTGGAGGGCAAAACTAAAAGCCAACTAAGGAGGGTCAGACGCAATTGTTCCACTGTTCAAGACACTGGCAGATTATGTCAAACATAAACTCGTCAAAAATGGCTATAATAAAAACCATATAGAAAAACAGATTAGGGAAATGTCAAAAGTAAAAAGAAATGACCTCCTTATGGATAGTAATAAAATTAGGGACAATGGGCAATTTGGATATGCCTTCATGACAAGATATAATACACAACATAGAGATATTAAGAGAAGTTTACAGAAATGCTGGCCCATTTTATTAAAATACCCGTTCCTAGGAGAACTACTTCTGAAACAACCTTTAATGATTTTACAGGAAAAATATGAACTTGAAGAGTTTATTGGCATCAAGTTATATTAAATGTAAACAGCCTACAACAGACAATACCTTAGAAATGGGGTTCAGAGGATGCCAACACTGTAACACTTGTACCACTATTTGGATGGAAAGCTCTATACATTTCTTTAGTGTCTCCACTGCTGAGACTTTTCCAGTCCGTGCAGGGATTGGCTACAGCACGGATTTTTGTAGTATACTTACTGAAGTGTCCATGCGGCAAGCAAAAAATGACTAGAAATTAGAATCATGAAACACATTAACAACATAAAGAAAGGTGGACCTAACCCATTCAGTCTCTACCCACTGTAGGTCTTGTCCAAAGTTTAATTTAACACAGTTGAGAAGATGCCTCTGGATTGAATCCCTCCACACCGGAGGGAAAGGGACAGAGTAAAAAAAAAACCTCTCCAAAAGGGAGACATGTAGGATCCATAAATTACAGACATTTAGAACTCTTTGGACTTAATGTGGATATAGATCTGGTCTGCTTTCTGTAGGGGTATCCTGTTATCTTGTATTTCATTTTAATTTCACTTGATTTTTTTTTTTTTTATCTATATATTTTTTTTTATTTTTATATTTTTGTTTCTCCTTTAATTATTTTGATGTATTATTGGTCTTGTAATTTATATTGTTTTACATTTACTTTCATATTTGATTTCATCTCTATTGGTTTATTTTCTCACTAGTGACATCATCATTATTACCTATAGATGGAATTTTTTATATATACTTTTTTTTTAAATATATAATTTTCATTAATGTATGATTTTTAAAAAAAATCTTGTTTGGGTTTGGAAACGGGTATATGCAGCTATTACTTGTTAAGCACTTTATATGCATTATGACATTTAAAAATATATATCACACTTAATGGCACTTTATTATAATGTGTATTTATTGAAATATATTGAACCGGTCGTGGATATGTGTTGTTTTCCTGCATTGTCACAGCCATGATTTGGTGTGGGTTGTGGCTCCGAAATAAATTGAGATTACAGTTGAGAGATTGGAATCTAATACCATTTTCCCCAGAAGATAATTGTTTTAATCCTAACGGAACTTTGAACACATACGGTATCCACAACCCAAGTATGAACATTGGCGTCCATGGAACATACCCCTAACGTTGGTGGAATGCAAAAGCGAAAGTGACGTAACTGGTACGTAAGTGCGCTCTGGACCACATGAGAAACTGGCAGCAGCATGTATGAAGTAACATTAGGACTTACAGTTGGGGAGGAAGGTGTGTAAGAAGAAAGGAGAAGTGATTGGCAAACATTGATTAAACAATTGAGGGAACAGGAAGGACACCCACTCAACCACCAATGAACAGGAAGGACTTTTCTTTTATAATGGGACTCGAGGCAAGGAGGAATTCAGGCAGTTTTTTTTATTGTATACCGAAATTTTATGGTATGGTACTTGTTTTATCATTGGAGGTCCCCGAGGAAGTTCATACATGAACGAAACGCGTAGGACTCTGATATTTTTTAATTTCTTGTACTGATAACTATGTTCTTTTTGGTATAATAAAAAAGATTTTTATCTACCTGGATTCCTGACCTTTATTCGGCTCCTGAACTGAGAACACCAGTGACAGTGAGGAGGTTGACTTAGCCCCACATCACTCGGGGGAGGCACCCTTAAGGTGATCTTAAAGCTTCCATTTTGTGAGTGCAATCTATAACAAGCGTGTTAATTGACTTTGTATTGCAATATCATACTATATACCTACTAAAAGTGTAGCTAAGATGCTTGATTCCCTGCAGCCAACAGCCCTGCCTCCAGTTTTAAAATGCTATACTTCAGCCTCACTCCATGCCAAGTCATAGTAGGGATTTAGGCAGTGATTCGCTGAGTGCGCTCTGCGGACTCATGCAGCATATCATTGCCTGCTACTTTTGGTATGGTGTATAGGACCATTATTTCATCATTGGAGGCTGTGGTGCAAGCTGCCAGGGACTGAGCAACTTTACTAAATTGTGATTGAACCGTTTAGCTGTGATGCAGGACACCAGGTTCCATAACAACTCTAATCTGTTGAACTATATTAATTACAAACATTTCTCTAATATGAGGGGTACAGTTTATGGAAATGTACTGCCAAGGGGTACACAAGGAAAAGAAAGGTTGGGAACCACTGATCTATGGAATATATTCAATTTTTAAGACTGATGTTAATGTAATCTAATGTACACCAATTATCTAATTTTTCTTTTTTTTCCATTAAAGTGGCATAAATATAAAAGTACCAGTTATGGCTAGTGGACCGGACACAGTGACTGTACACCGCTTACAAAAAAAAGGTAAATATATATTTCACTTGTGTGCTGCAGACTGATGGCTAATGAAAATATATATTTGTTTTTATCTCATTGGGTTTTATACTTAGAAATGAGAAAAATCTAACTAAAATAGTGCAACCATGATCAGCCACAACATTAAAACTACTGACAGGTGAAGAGAATAACATTAATTATATTGTTACAATTGCAGGAGTCACATGGATGGAATTTATTAGGTAGCAAGTGTTCTTGAAAGAAGCAAAAATTTGAGTGACTTTGACATGGGCCAAATAGTGATTACTACACCAAAAGTGGTGCAAGGAAGAACAACCGGTGAACTCATGTCAGGATCATGGTGTGGGGAGCGAAACTAGCCTGGTCTACTCACGCAGAAGGGCTACTGTAGCTCAAATTACTAAAAAGTGTAATGCTGGTCATGATAGAAAGTCGTTTACCTGGGGAAAGCTGACAGCATGATATACTATGGGAAGAAGGTTATGCTCAGCGCAGTGTTATACTGGGAAACCTTGGGTCCTGGAATTCATGTGGATGTTGCTTTAACATGTACGACCTAACTAGAGATAGTTGCAGACCACGTACACCAGGGCCTGATTAATATAGGAGCTGATGGTGCTGCATGGAGCATTGATTAGGAAAAAAAAAAAAGGTTTTTAAATGTTTTTTTTTTTCTTTCTACTCTGCATATGCTCTTGCTTAAGTATGGACACTTGAGAGTGATGTAGGGAAACAAAACTGGTGTGGACTGGTTGACAATGAAATTAGTTAAGGTAAAGCTGACTTTGCGCACTATGCAAATGCTCTTGCTGCTTCATCTCTATAACACTGTGGCATGTTCCCTTTCTTCTACACTCACTACATACACTTTTTCTCTGTCCCAGACTGTATAACAGTCTGCTAGTAAGAAAGTTAGGAGAGGGAGGGGTGGACCAGCATATGCTAAGGGACAGCTCTTAAAAAGTGTAGAGCTAGCACATCACTAGACGTATTTATGCCAAGCTCAAGGTGCTGTCTGCTCAGTATGCCCTTGGTTGGTCATCTTGCATGATATAGCTATCAGAAAAGGTGCATTCATGCCAGGCTGGTCTAATTCTTTGTGCAGACACTCCACCTTTTTGGGCGTGTTTGTCCCTTTGGGCGGTTCTGGTTACATGATTTACATAAGTGGCCCACCCTTTTACCGCGCCCACTGAAATCCTGCATCACTGGACACTGCTATTACGGGTTATGGATTTACTTGAAAAATGAAAGTGAGAAATTAGCATAGGATATATTTTTTTATGATACATACTGTGAGTTCCCTCCAGCACCACCTATATTAGATACATGACGCTTGGGAGGTATAACTGTGTTTTAGTGTTTTGTATCGATAAGATTCTGTTGTTAGGCACATCACAATTGTCAGCACCAGGCCCAATAGGCCCTTAATCTGGCCCTGACGTACACCTGTTAATGGCAGTGGTGTTCCCTGATGGCAGCAGCATCTTTCAGCACGATAATGCACTCTGCCATACTGCAAACATTGTTCAGGATTGATTTAAAGAACATAACAGAGTTAAACAAATTTGATCAATGAAGCCCCTAATGTCTTGGTGCCAGATACCACAGGACATATTTAGAGGTCTAGAGGAGTCCATGTCTCGATGCATTAAAGCTGTTTTGGAAGCACGAGGGTGGCCTACACATTATTAGGCAGCTGTTTTTAATGTTGTGGCTGATCAGTGTGTAGCGGTTTATTCACAAAAGGCAGGATTGCAGCCCAGATGGAAGATATTGCTGCTCTACCCTTTATGTTCAATGTGAAGAGTATGCTTTGCCCCTTAAAGGGACACTATAGGCACCCAGACTCTTCATCTCATCGACGTGGTCTGGGTGCAATGTCCCTGTCCCACTTAGTCCTGCAATGTAAATCATTGCAGTTTTTTAGAAATTGCAATGATTACTTTGCAGCACTAATACTGCCTTCAGCCTCTATCAGACAGCCACTAGAGGCTTTTTTTCCGGGATTCTAAGGGACTCCCTTAAAAAGACACTGGACGTCCTTATCCTCTGCATGAGGACATGCATCGCCAGTGCACACCCCATAGGAAAGCATTAAGGCAATGTTTTCTTATGGGGAGGGCCTAATGCGCTCACTTGGATTCCCCCTTCGGATGACATCAGAGGAGGCAGAGTGCCAACCCAGGGCCAAGGGAGATTGGAAGTGGAATTGTGCGAGTAAATAAAGGTTGTTTTTTTTTCCCTGCCCTTAATGTGAGAGGGGCCTCGAGTGAGGGGGGACCAGAGGACGCTATAGTTTTAGGAATAAAAATCTGTATACCTAACACTGTAGAATCCCTTTAAAGGACCACTATAGTGCCAGGGAAACATACTCGTTTTCCTGGCACTATAGTGCCCTGAGGGTTCCCCCACCCTCAGGGACCCCCTCCCGCCCGGCTCTGGAAAGGCGAAAGGGGTTAAAACTTACCTTTTTCCAGCGCCGGGCGGGGAGCTCTCCTCCTCCGATCCTCCTCTTCTCCTCCCAGTCGGGTGAATGCGCACGCGCGGCAAGAGCTGCGCGCACATTCAGCCGGTCACATAGGAAAGCATTCATAATGCTTTCCTATGGACGCTGGCGTGCTCACTGTGAAAATCACAGTGAGAAGCACGCAAGCGCCTCTAGCGGCTGTCAATGAGACAGCCACTAGAGGAAATAGGGGAAGGCTTAACCCATTCATAAACATAGCAGTTTCTCTGAAACTGCTATATTTATGAAAAAATGGGTTAACCCTAGCTGGACCAGGCACCCAGACCACTTCATTAAGCTGAAGTGGTCTGGGTGCCTAGAGTGGTCCTTTAACTGATGTTTTGTAAACTTCTGACCCACTCTTAAGGTGGATTTGAATTAAATCAATAGTTAGCAAGACTCTAACTTAGTGAATTGGTTATAGTGACTGGAGTCTCCTTGCACTGTCCCTCCATTAAGTGTTAAATACTTTTCAAGCAGCTGAACACTGAGTATCAGTCCATGGCCACCCCCAATCCAGCACCTACTAAACATCTGGCTAAGCTAAAACACACTGCCTTCTAGCCATACCAATACCAGCAATGGGTGCTGTGATAGACGCTGCCCATTGATACTCATGTTACTGCTTCCACATTAGTCCAAGCAGCACAGAGGGAGAGGGCTAATGGGGAATCTTTTTTTTTTAGCATTAAAGGTACATGCATCACTTGAAAATTACATTTTTAAACTGTCAAGCAAACACTTTGAGACAAATATAGAAACCAAAATAAACCAAGAAATGTATGCAGGGGCGTATTAGACGCGAGGCAAACAAGGCATTTGCCTTGGGCGGCATTTTTCAGGGGGCGGCAAAAAACGCCGCCCCCCAAATGCCCAGGGCAAATGCCTAGTTAGCCTTGCGACTAACAGACATCCCGAGCGGGCAGGCGGCATCTTGCTGCTGTGCGGGCAGCTGGCGAGGGAGCACTTCCTCTGAGCACTCTGCTCAGCTCCCTTGCGTGCCGCAGAGTGAGGCTGGGAGCCGGAATATGACGTCATATTCCGGCTCCCAGCCTCACTCTGCGGCGCGTGAGGGAGCTGAGCAGTCAGCTCAGAGGAGGAGCTCCCTCGTTAGCCGCCCGCCCAGCAGCCAGAGCCGCCCAGCCCGACCGGCAGCCACTGAACCACCAGGGAGAGAGAGACCCCCCCCAGCACTCCCAAAGGTAAGGAGGTTGGGGGGGGGATTTAAATTTAAAAAAAGTTAATGTGTGTGTGTGTGTGTCTGACTGTGTGTGTGTGTGTGTTCGTGTCTGACTGTGTGTGTGTGTGTTCGTGTCTGACTGTGTGTGTGTGTTCGTGTCTGACTGTGTGTGTGTGTGTCTGTCTGTGTGTGTGTGTGTGTGTGTGTGTGTTTGTGTCTGAGGTGTGTGTGTTTGTGTCTGACTGTGTGTGTGTGTTTGTGTCTGACTGTGTGTGTGTGTCTGTGTGTGTGTGTTTGTGTCTGTGTGTGTGTTTGTGTCTGACTGTGTGTGTGTGTTTGTGAGTGTGTTTGTGAGTGTCTGTGTTTGTGTCTGACTGTGTTTGTGTATGTGTGTGTTTGTGTCTGACTGTGTGAGTTTGTGTTTGACTGTTTGTGTATGTGTGTGTCTGTGTATGTGTCTGACTGTGTGTGTGTGTCTGTGTATGTGTCTGACTGTGTGTGTGTGTGTGTGTGTATGTGTTTGACTGTGTGTTTGTGTCTGACTGTGTGTGTGTATTTAGAAGGTGGGGCGGGGGAAGGGTTGGGTGGGGGTGGCGCGGGGGGAGGGTGGCGCCTGAGTTTTGTCCTGCCTAGGGCAGCACAAAACCAGGATACACCACTGAATGTATGTAATAAACCTTTATAAACTTAGTCAGATTGCATTGTTAGGCACTCCTCTCATCCCCCTCCTCCTCCCTTTTACCCACCCATGACACTTTTAGACCAGCCCGCTAATGACCGAAACAGGGCAACATTGTGCAGCAGCAGGAGGGGGAAACTCAACACTGGAGCTTTTGCATATTATTAGTTAAATCAGAACTGGTTTTATTACATACCATTAGAAATACATAGGTGATGATGTTATTGCAAGGTGAACTATCTCCAGTTTAATAGGTTATTCACTCATATTTGGAGGGCAGCATAAGTTCATAGATGTTCATTGTGTGATAGTCTTTTTTTTTTTTTTATAGCTTTGTATGTATGTTATAATTCATTCTGTGAAAAAGTGCACGTTCTCTGCAGACACAAGTTTAATTAAAGGACCACTATAGGCACCCAGACTACTTCAGCTCAATGAAGTGGTCTGGGTGCCAGGTCCCTCTAGTTTTAACCCTGCAGCTGAAAACATAGCAGTTTCAGAGAATGTTTCACTGAGGGTTAATCCAGCCTCTAGTGGCTGTCTCACTGACAGCCGCTAGAGGCTCTTCCGCGATTCTCTGTGAAAATCACAGTGAGAAGACGCTGGACGTCCATAGGAAAGCATTAATTAATGCTTTCCTATGGGCGGTTTGAATGCACGCACGGCTCTTGCCGTGCATGCGCATTTGGATCGGACGTTGGCAGAGGGAGGAGAGGTCACCAGTGCAGAGCGAGCCCGGCACTGGAGAAAGGTAAGTGGCTGAAGGGGTTTAAACTCCTTCACCCCAGCGGGAGGGGGGCCCTGAGTTTGGGGGGGACCTAATGATCCTATAGTGCCAGGAAAACGAGTTTGTTTTCCTGGCACTATAGTGGTCCTTTAACTTGAAGTAAATATTCCAAAAATGTAAATATTGCATGAGTACACAGCATTCTTTCCAACATTTCAAATGGACAAAGAGGGACACTTTTCTGTCCGGGGTTTTAGTGGGCGTGTGGTCAGGGGCAGCACTGTTCTAAGAAATTTTAGGAAACTTACTAATAACAATTTATGTAACTCCAAAAATAGAGACTGTTCCTTCTAAATAGTGACATTTAAGAGGTGTACTACAGTTTCCTGCTACATAACTTACACTTATTTCATGCTGCATAACCTTTTGGCCTGTAAGTTGTCTTAGGTTTTGATTAGATAGATTTTTTTTTTCTCAAGCTAATTTTATTTAAAAAAGAAATAATTTAAATTAAAAAAATCTGTTTTTTTTAATGTGTTATTTAAATTTATTTTTTTTAATTTAAAATCCATCCTGCCCACTTTTTCTTAACTGCCAAAGATCCTGACCTATATTTAAAAAAACAACAGTGCAAGACAGTACTGAGAACAGACAACAGCTCATCTTGTGCTATTACAAAAGAACCAGGGCCATTTGCATATCAGACTGAACCCACCCAAAAGGGCGGTGCAGATCTGAAATGCAGGCCTGCTCTCTGCATGAGAGGTAACGCAACCCCAGACGATTGTTTCAGCCTTGTTAGGCATTGTCAGTGAGGTACAGCCGATACTTCTCTAGGCACCGTGAGCAAGGGGTCCACGTCTGATTACCTTTTAAACTTGGGGAGAATTGAAAAACAATGTGCAAGGGTACTGACAGCAGCTCAATTAGCCTGCTGTTCGGTGGGTCCATGCTCAGATATCAAGCTTTGCCTCTAATTTTAAGAACAATGAGAATTGGCATCATCAGTGACTCCCATCAGACGTCTTCTCAGTCTGTAAAATAAGTTATCAGTGCCATCAGCCCAACCTTGACTTAGAATCTTCTGCCTTTTTTGCTCCTCAAATCCCAAAACCCACCCTCTCGATCCTATCTCACCTGCCAGCTTGCCCATCTCATTTACTCATATCTACTAAAATAGTTACAGGTTCTTTGAAAAGTGCTTTTACACCAATCCCTTAAAATCCTTCTGTAGATATTTGTCTATACAATTATGGTCAGTTTATTTGTTTATGATTCTAAATCACAGAAGATAGTTGTGTGGAATAATTTGTTTTCTGCAGCAAAGATCTTATTGACCACTTATCCACATCCTAATGAGATGATTTTGGCAAAGGTTCTGTACCTACTGTCTATTAAATCCAACACTTCTCAAGGCTAATTTAAAAAAAAAAAAAAAAAAATTTGCCTTTACCTTTTGTAGATTACCAGTGTCTTCATGATATTTCTTGCCTGCTTGATGCAGGTTTTTCTTGACTTGTGTCAAAACTTAATCACTAAAATGATTATTCATTTGTTCTGCTTAATTCCTCCATACATCTCTTGGAAACTGGCCACAGCATTAAAATCACCTGCCTAATATCATGTAGTTCCCCTTTGTGCTGCCAAAACAGACCTGATGAGTCAAGGAATGGACTTCACAAGACCTCTTAACATGTCCTGTGGTATCTGGTACCAAGACATTACCAGCAGACCCTTTTAAGTCCTACGTGATGTGAGGTGGGACCTCCATGAATCAGATTTGTTGTTCCTATTCAGAATGAGATGTGGGGAATTTGGAGGCTAGGGCAACACCATTAACTCTTTTTCATGATCCTCAAACCATTCCTGAACAATTTTGCAGTGGGGCAGAATACATTATCCTGCTGAAAATGGCCATTGCCATGAAAGGATGTACCTGGTCTCCAACAATCTCTAGGCAGGTGGTACGTATCACATGAATACCAGTGCCCAAGGTTTCCTAGCAGAACATTGCACAGAGCACAATACTGCCTCGGCTGTCCTGCCTTATTCTCATAATGCATCCTCTTGTCATCTCTTCCCCAGGTTAACAACCCATACACATCCACCTTATCTAAAACAAAGCATGATTCACCAGACCAGGCAAACCACTTCTATTGCTCAATGGTCCAGTTCTGATGCCCACATCCCCATTGAATTTAAAGGTGTTTTCGGCGGTGGACAGGGGGTCATCATGGTCACTCTGAGAAGTTTGTGGCTCTGCAGCCCCATACACAGCACACTGCATTGCACTGCGTGTTCTGACAGCTTTGTCATGGTCAGCATTAAGCTTTTCAGTAATTTAAACTACAGTAGCTCCTCTGTGTGATTGGACCAGTCAGGCTAGCCTACACTCCCAGCGTGCATCAATGAGCCTTGGGTGTACATGGCTCTGACGCCGGTTCACTAGTTGCATCACTTTTTGGAGATTTGCCCTTTTGGAGATGCTCTCACCCAGGCCATCACCATTTGGCCCTTGTCAAAGTCATTTGGACTTTTTGCTAGTCCATTTTTCCTAGTCCAAAACATGAAATTCAAGAACTAACTGTTCACTTGCTGCCTAATATATCCACCCTCTTGACAGATGCAATTGCAATGATTTAATCAGTGTTATTCACTTCATCTATCAGTGGTTTTTAGTGCTGTGGCTGATCAGTGTAGGTGGTATTTACAAACATAAAGTCATTCAAAGTTTACCTGTTTTGTACTGCTTTTTTTAACCCACTGATCTCTAATCACTCTCCCATGATTAAATCATTGCAATTGCACCTATCAAGAGGGTGGATATATTGGGCAGTAAGTATATATAAATATAAATTATAGCCAGAAATCCTGTCATTTTATACCTGTCTAGCCTTTTAACAATGCCATTTCTGCATATTATTTTTCTATACTCTTCATAAACTTACTTTGGTATTGAATGGATGCCATGAAGAAGTAGGAGAAAAATCCAGTTCAGACCATCATTTTTTATTTATTTAATATTTACATGAATACTAGAATAAAAGTACTAAGTATCCTCCTGAGAACAGTGAAAATAATTTTCTTCCAATATGCCATCCATTTTTGACGAAAAGGAAGAGGAAGGGGGTTGGAGTCTGACTGTAGAGCAGATGCATGTCACTGCAGCTCCTGCTTCTTACTGCAAAACTCAATGATTTCTATCGGGCAGAGGCAGTGAATAGACAAATTATTGCTGACATATCAAAGAGGACAGCATGATCTCTATGCCTATACCACATAAGTGGACTTTTGTACTAGGCTTGCCCGGACAGACCTCACAGCCTAGAAGCATGGTCGGCATCGCCTAGACTATCTGCAGATCACAGCTTGGGAGTTATCCCGGTCCCCACCAACCAGACACGCATCATACCTATTCCATGCCGCACACTTACAGGCTCCAACCCCATCGGCCTAGCGAGATGGTGGATGCAACCCAACTGCCAGTGCCTGCATCCAGGCAGCCCACCTATGCAACTGGACCTTATATTTACCCGCTTCAGGGATCTGCTGGAGCAACGCCTGTCACAGATGTCTCCTACCAGTGGCGTACACGCAATCCATGGGGCCCGGTGCGAAACTGATCCATGGGATCCCCATTACCCCCCCAACAGACACAGACTCACATACATATAGACACACATACATACATACATACATACACACACACACACATAGATACATACAGACACAGAAACACACAAGACACACATACATACAAACACAGACACACACAAGATACATACAGACACAGACAGACACATACATACAGAAAGACAAACACGCACACACAAGACACACATAAATACAAAGACACATACATACAAACTCACAGGCACACATACAGACACACACAGACACTTACACACAGGCACACACATACAGACAGACACTTACACACAGGCACACACATACAGACAGGCACACATAAATACAGACACATACACACATATACAAAATGTATATGTTTCCCACCCTGTTTCCTACCTTTTAGGTGCAGGAGACTTTCCCTGGGGTCCAGTGGTGGCTCAGGTTGATGGGAGTCAGAGTTCCCTCTAGGACTCCCTCCTCTGCTTTCTCCCGCGTGGGCTCTGTGTGATAGCTGGGAGGAGTAACCGGGGCAGTCACTTACTCCCAGCGTGTGATGTCATCACAGGGGGCCGGGTTGTGCTGTTGAAGCGCTGCAGCGCTGACCAGTTCCCCTGAAAATCCATCTCCATCGGGTGGCCCTAACAGCATGGGCCACCCGATGGACCCCTTGAACGGCAGCCCCGGCGGGTGCAAAACACGGTGGCTGGTACCCGGTCGCAGGGCGGCTGGGCACCCTGGAGTGACGGGCCGGGTCGCAACTGCGACCCCTATATGTACGCCACTGTCTCCTACCCACGGCAGGGAAGTGGAGGGTTCCAGGAAAACGGAGCGGATCAGTCCTGTCTTGGGCAAAGCTAAACCTTGAGTACCCATATTATGTGCTGCACGCCCGCCTGGGCCAAAGGTCACACGGCGACCCTCTCCGAGGCATCACCCACACTGCCGGAAGACTTGGCGGCAGAGAAACATCAGGGCCTTCCGAAGCGCCCACACAGGGAAAGACCTGGCCTCACAGAGCTCCTGCGTCTGTGGAAGACAGATGCCGACCTTTAACAAGGCCTGGGCTGAGGAGGGGCCTCTCTGTGCTCGTGATCCATCAACACCCTCCGGTACCATAAAACACCCGCCATCTCGCTGCCCAGTATGGGAACTGGCTGACTTTGTGGCTAGTGAACTGTGCACAGTACAACACCTGCTGAGGACTTTACCATAGTAGGGTACCATCTATACCACACAAGATGAGTTTGTTTAACCCCTTAAGGACGGTGGGCTTTCTATGCCGTCCTTAGGGAACCGGCTTTAAACGCTGGAGGGCGGCATAGAACGCCTTAACCGTCCTTTGTACTTACCCGGTCGCCGGCGATCGCGGTATGAGCAATTACCTGGGATCCCAGGGAGTCCCCCTCCGTCCTCTTCGGCTCCCCGGGGCCGTGTGATCACGAGGTCCTTGCGACGACCTCGTGATTACATGGACGGCATAGCAGTCCAAGGCATTGCCAGCAGGGGGAGTGCCTGTAATGACAGGTACTCCCCCTGCTGTCTGAAAAATTTAAAAAAATAAAGTTAATAACAGTTTAAAATAAAATATATACTTAGATTATATATATGATCGAAGTGTGTGTGTGTGTGTGTATATATATATATCTACATTCATTAAGTATATTTTAATATTAATATATATATAATTATAAATACATTAATATCAAAATATACGTACAATGATATTGATTAAATATATATAATTTTCATTATATATATATATATATATATATTTATATATAATATAAAATAAATATGTAAATACGTTAAATAAAATTAAAAAATAATAAATATATCACCTGTGTAAATGCGTTCTAACTGTATTTTAAAATTAATATATATATGTATATATTGATATCAAAATACATGTAGAACGAAATAATATATATATCTATATACATAACAACTACATACGTATATATCACTATATATATATATATATATATATATATATATATATATATATATATAATAATAAAAATATATATATAATTCTACGTATATATTCATGTAATAATTTTACATAATTAGGTCATTTTATTAATTACAATTAGCAGGACCTGCCTCACAACCCAGGCCAAAAGTCCAAGGAATTTAATTTGCTAGCACTATATTTAACCCTGTAACTTTCCAAGACACCATAAAACCTGTACATGGGGGGTACTGCTTTACCTGGAAGACTTTGCTGAACACAAATATTATTGTTTCAAAACCGTAAAATGTATTACGACGATATTGTCAGTGCAAGTGAAATTTTTTGCATTTTTCACACACAAATGGCACTTACACGGACGATATAATTGTTGTGATACGTTTTACTGTTTTAAAACACTAATATTTGTGTTCAGCGAAGTCTTTCGAGTATAACAGTACTCCTCGTGTACAGGTTTTTTGGTGTTTTCAAAAGTTAGAGAGTCAAATATAAGGCTTGCTTATCAGTTTTTTCACATTGAAATTCGCCAGGTTGGTTATGTTGCCTTTGAGACCGTATGGTAGCCCAGGAATGAAAATTACCCCCATGATGGCATACCATTTGCAATAGTAGACAACCCAAGGTATTGCAAATGGGGTATGTTCAGTCTTTTTTAGTAGCCACTTCGTCACAAACACTGGCCAAAATTGGCATTCAAATTAGTGTTTTGGGCTACCATACGGTCTCAAAGGCAACGTAACCAATCTGGCAAATTTCAATGTGAAAAAACTGAAAAATGTAACATGCTATATTTGACCCTGTAACTTCCCAAAACACCATAAAACCTGTGCATTGGGGGTACTGTTTTACACGTGAGACATCGCTGCATACAAATATGTGTATTTTATTGCAGTAAAAGCAAACAGTAATATGATATTCACTGTTAGAATGTCACGTAGAACTAAAAAAAAAAATTAAAAATTCTTATTTTCTCCCATTTTTTTACATTTTATTCATATTAAATTATGTTTCATACCTAAATATTTGATGTTAAATGAAAGCCGGTTTCCCCCGAATAAAATTATATATAATAAGTGTGGGTGCACATAATATGAAAGAGGTGAATTACGCCTGAACAGACATATAGCGCAAATTAAAGTTTTTGTTTACGTTTTGTTTTGATCACAACGTGTACATTTGGCTCAGTCCTTAAGGGGTTAAAGGGAAACTCCAGTGCCTGGAAAACAATCGGTTTTCCTGGCACTGCAGGTTCCCTCTCCCTCCTACCCCCCAATCCCCGGTTGCCGAAGGGGTGAAAACCCCTTCAGTAACTTACCTGAGGCAGCGACGATGTCCCACGTCGCTGCTTCTCCCTCCGCGCCGATCCTCCTTCTGACCGGCCGGGGAGACCTAATGCGCATGCACGGCAATGCCGCGCATGCGCATTAGCGCTCCCCATAGGAAAGCATTGAAAATGCATTTCAGTGCTTTCCTAAGGGGAAATGAGCGATGCTGGAGGTCCTCACACAGCGACGTCCAGCGACGCTCTAGCACAGGTTTTCTATGCTAGGAACCAGGAAGTGCCCTCTAGTGGCTGTCTATTAGACAGCCACTAGAGGTGGAGTTAACGCTGCAAGGTAATTATTGCAGTTTATAAAGGGTTAAGAGTAGTGGGAGTTGGCACCCAGACCACTCCAATGGGCAGAAGTAGTCTGGGTGCCTGGAGTGTCCCTTTAATTATCCCTTTGTTCTACCCCTCCAGCTTATTTTCTATAGCGTCTGCTGTAGAATACCTAGAAGTCAAATGTTAACCTCTAAGTCATTGTTACCAAACTACCTACCCTAACTAGGAAAAATTCTGCTGAGTAATACTTTCGGAGACACCAGCACGCCTATCCTGTGCTTGGCCCTCTTAAATTCAGGCTCCCAGAGTAGTTTATAAGCGTGGCACCACTGCCAATCTGCTATTTATAGATCGCAAACCACGTACTGCAAGTGACCCCAGCACCTACTTCTTGAGACATACTCTTACATGTATATTTTTCCCTTAGGTTGTAAATCTGTTTGTGCTAAAATTTTATTTTGAAGTCACTAAACCCTTAAAGCGGCACTGTCATGCCGAATCCTGTTTTTTTTTTAACCCCCCCTCCGGCCTCCACTACATCTAACTGACACCCTAGTCACCCCCAAATGCCCCTAAGCCCCCCACATTACCTATTTTTTATTCCTTGTTTTCTGCCCTGATCTATATTCAGGGCGCTGCCATCTTTGTGTGGGTAGATGAAGTCCCTGTGGGACACGTCATCAGCCCACACTAGATAGACTGATTCCCGCACATGCCCAGTGAAACACCTGGACATGGGAACGGGAATTTCACCTATTCATTCATTCATCAGACAGACGAATGAATGAACAGAAAGATCAGCCGAACAAACAAACACTATGTATCAGTGTTCGTTTGTTCGTGCAGTTTATTACAAGGAGGGAGCTCTTTTGAATTTTCCCACGCTGTGTAAAATGACAAAGAGCACTCTGATTGGCTTAAACCCACCAATCAAAGTGTTCTTAGCCTAACTGCAGGGTGGGGCAAGGCTTTTGTAAGCCTTCCCCCGCCCTACCGAGCTCAGTCTGCGCGGAGCCCTCCATGGGTGAAGATGGATTATTTTTTTGCGCTCGGGTTTTTTCTTTTTTGTCGGGTTTCTTTTTTTGCGCTCTGGATTTTTATTTTATTTTCAATTCGACGGTTATGATGGTTTTTTATTTGGCCTTTTTTGGGGCTGAAAAATGAAGATTTGAGGAAAAAGAAGACGTCGAATGGTAAGTTTCATTTTATTTTACAGGTTAGTTATTTTATTCCCCCCTCACTATTTTTTAGGGTGAGGGGGGTAGGTAGGGACTTTTTATTTGGGTGGGGGGGTGGGTGACTAGGGGCTTGGGGACCCCTAGTCACCTTGGTGGGGAGGGGGGAAATTGACTTAGGGCCCCCACCCCCAGGTGGGGGGACAGTAGGTCCCCCCCCTCATTATCTTTATGGCCCCAACCTGCCGCCCAGGGGTGGGGTCCGGGGGGGGGCAGTAGGCCCCCCCATTATCATTATGACCCCCACCAACCGCACAGGGGTGGGGATTGGAGGGGGGGTTGACAGTAGGTCCCTTCCCCCTCATTATCTCCATGGCCCCCACCCGCCGCCCAGGGGTGGGGGCCGCAGGGGTGGTGGACAGTAGGTCCCCCCCCATTATCTTTATGGTCCCCACCCGATGCCCAGGGGTGGGGGCCGGAGGGGGGGTGGACAGTAGGTCCCCCCCCTCATTATCATTATGGCCCCCACCCGCCGCGCAGGGGTGGGGGCCGGTGGGGGGGGACATTAGGTCTCCCCCCTTATTTTACTTTAGGGCCCCCACCCGTCGTTTAGGGGTGGGGGCCAATAGTTTTTTTGTTTTTTTTTTACAGTGAGCAGCCACAGGCTGCTCACTGCTTACCAGACATGCCCCTACTCGCGGTATAGCGAGTAGGGGCATATTATTTACTAATACTAAATAATTTTTACTTAGTATTCGTAAATGTGGCTGAAAGACCAATTTAGGTCTTTCAGCCTTTTAGTAGATAGCTCCCTGATACCGTGGGAATTAGGGAGTTATCTACTAAGCGGCTGCAAGATGCAGCCACAGCACTAATAGGATCAGAGTTTCATTCATTCTAATGAAATTCCGATCCGAATAAAATGCCGAATTGCGTTCTAACACAAACGAACATACTGTTCTCATTCAGTTAGAACGCAATTCGGCAGTTTTGTGTAAAGTGACAGGAAGCATCGCGGGAACACTGAGGAAAGGTAAGAATTATGGGAAAATTGCTCTGACCAGCGGAAATGAAGCACACTTTGCTCCTCCGCTGGTCAGAGCTGGTCAAGCGGAGGAATCCTCCATAAGGCAAAGAGTCCCTACTTTGTCTTATGATTTTAAAGAAAACTAAAGAAGACCGGAAGAAAAGAATAACAGATCCTGAGAGAGGGGGAGAAGAGGAAGAGATTGAGCAAAGGTAAGTTTGGAATGACAGTGCTGCTTTAATGGTCATGTCCCTAGCAATGTGTGTGTCTCCCAGGTGGATGCAAGCCTGATGATTTATTAGTTCCATTAAACTACCATGCTTTGACTGTATCTACCTATTTCTAAAGCATTTCTCACATCTACTCTCCACATATCTTGACTAGCTTGTGACAGTATAATTTGTTGAATGCTTAGATATGTGTCGCCTAACTTGTTTAAATTTAGTTTTTCTAAAATATAAAAAAAAATTATGCTGAATATTCAGAGTTCAGTACCATATGCATACCTACTATAACTGTCATGTCTTGCTTAGACTCCTTTTTCTAATTTCTGTATTGTATCAACTATGCCTCAAATAAAAAACAGATTGACAAAAAGAAAAGGAAGAGTAAGTTCCCAGCATCCCAGTCTATCACATGACATATCGCTGGAAAGCCCAGGATGTCCTCTTTACAATACAGCTAAAGAATAAAAGGAGATGCATGTGAGCGAAATGTACAGTACAGAGTTAATGGTCTGGGTCTCAGGAGTATATAATTTTACATTTTAAAATTTTTCAGAGCAAAAAAAAAAGGTTTCAGTGACTTATTTTTGTTCCCAAAAACAAGTACTAATTTACATAGCTAGTTTCATAGTACATCTTCTTCTTGTGAATCATCTCCTTTACGAATGGTTAAATTTTACTGTCACTTAGGAAAGTCCTTTTCTTGACAGAGGCACTTCATCATTTCCTCACTAGCCTAAAAAGACAAAAAAATGCTTCCTAGAACTTGTGAAGCTTGTCATGTGATGTTGAGTGAACTTGCATTCAAAGGAACAAACTAAGGCTTCTTGATTCTGTGTTTTTTTAACCTTTTAGCTTTCAGCAGCCAGAGTGGTATTACTTTTAACACATTTGAAACCACAATTGCTGCCTGCTGTGTTATTACGATGAGGAAACAAATTAGGCAAAATAGACATACATGTGATCATGACCAAAAGTCCTTTGGAAAAACACGCTGTGACAAGGTAAATCTTGCACTGTCTCTCTCTGAACGTCTACGATTATTTTAGCTTGTCTTGCATCAAAGTCAATTCTGTGCAAATTTATTTATCATTCTTAATTTTTTTTTGTCACTCAGTCAGTGAATGGAGACTGGGGCTGATTTTGGCTTGTGCAGGTCTGAGCATCACCAAGGAGGAGGAGTGTTAGACTCTAAGCCTGAAGGGGATCCAAGTAAAAGGCCAAACCTTTACTAAATGTTTTGCCCCATAACTGGGGAACAGAGCCAGTGTACTCCTGACATCACAACCACTATAGGTTTCCGTAGCAGTTATGATGTATGGAGTAAAGGGAAATTGTCACTTTTCTTGAAACTAATCCATTAAAAATCCACCTATAACTTGTATTAAAGGGATACTATAGGCACCTAGACCACTTTAGCTTATTGAAGTGGTCTGGGTGCACTGTCCCTGTCAGTTTAACCCTGCAAATATAATTATTGCAGTTATTGAGAAACTGAAATATTTATCTTGCAGAGTTAACTCCACCTCTAGTGACTGTCTTCCAGACAACCATTAGAGGCGTTTTTGGGTTGTTAGGTGACTTTTGGTCCCCTGACGCTGGACCTTCTCCTAGGCTATAGTTTCCCTTTAACCTTTTTCATGTGCTGCTTTGTTTTCTTTTAAAATGTATTTTCAATATTTAACATGTAACCTTGCAATCCAGTTTAAGGCACACGATGCAAATGAGTAGAACAGGTCGACAGAAACAACATTTTGTTTTTTTCTTCTTCCTTTAACTATCTTCAATGGAAGAAAAGAGCAACAATTGTCCAATGCCAAGGAGGGAAAAATGAATGGGGGCCCAAGCTTAGGATCTAAGTGTGGATGTCTACATTTTACTTTTCATAATAGGGGATACATAAATAGAATGTTAAGTGGCAGATACCCTTTAATAAAGCACATTGATAGGTGTTTTCCTATCCTTATTAGTTACATTCTTTATGTTATTTTAGTGCATTTCTTGGCTTACCCTTGCTCCATGGGGCGGTCTTTTGCTCTGTGGCCTATAGGTTTACACTTTTTGACCCATGACATGTAATTTGACTTGCCAAATTTGTTAGAATTTCTGTATTTTGAAATATTCTAATGTTTTGTAAAATAATTGGTCAGAAACACCTGTTTTTTTCACATACTACACATAGTTTGAAGGTCTAAGACCATCCCATAGTGCATTTTTGAGATGCCAGCTGCTTGGCATAATTGTTTACCTACATGTTTTTGTTTTTATTTTGTCATATAAATGGTGCTTATTACCCAGTGGACTTTACAAAGGCTGCCCCCATAGAGCAAGAGTAATCCAGATGCAAAGAATTATATATGCATAAATAAACCAAAACTACATTACGCATGATCTTTTATTTACAATACCTATAAAAGTTCTGTTTTCCTTTAAGTGCCCTTTTAAAAGTGTGTTGAATTGGATCTGCCTCCAGTTTATGACTCCAAAATAGATACTGGTCTCCCCATCTGCTTTCCTAATAGTGATATGTTTTTGTATTCAAATTAACCCTCTAGACATCATAAAGTGGTTATGGTACTTTGAATCCCCTTTCGTTGTCCCACTGTTCTGTCTTAATCCATGTTCAAATGGTTCAACATTGTATGAGAGTACTCAGGTACCCACAGCCCGCTCCTCTCAGTAACCTGGCTAATGCGTCAGCTAAGGACTTTCTGCCTGTTGTAGGTATGTATTTGGTATGGTTAATGTGAAGTTACCGCAGCAATGGAGCTGTGGGCTGCTAGTACCCCCTCATTCAATGTTAAACTGATAAACAACAGTTTTATGTCCAATGAGTTAAAGTAGTTATGGTGCTTAGTGTCCAATTAAAATAGACACAAGGCCGTCATATTCTGTAAAACAAAATCTACATTTTGCCCATTCCAATGGATGATTAATGCTTATGTCTATATGTATAACTGGTTGTACTGGGATTATTCATGCAGTTGATGTTTTTTTTCTGTTGATCCGGTTTATTTTTGCCTGGAAACCACGCACTGACACATCATATTGAAACCTTGTTTAAACCTTACATATATAAGCTATTGTGATCTGTAAAATTCTTATATACATGACTGAGACCAACATGGCCTGCCTTTTTATTACATGTTGACAATGGAGTCCAGAAAAGCACACGATTACATGCAGTTTCAATGTCCGGCACTAGAGGGAACTGGATCATCTCACGTGACATAGTGAGCTTCTACTCTCTTGCCTCTAGGTTGCCACATGTCTTGACCCATGACATGTAACTTGAGTCTCCAAATTTTGTTTGAATTTCTGTATTTGGAAATGTTAAACTGTTTTGTAACATAATATACAATTGATGTAATACTGAGTGCAAAATCACCACACTTAACTTTTTATAATTACAAAATATATTTACCAAGCACACTGACTAGCACAATTAGACAAAACCTATTAATCAAATAGAATCCTACCCAATTCAAGCCTGGACACTTGCAGCCTTCTATCCACAATTTTGGGAGAAACCTGAACTATATCAACCACTGTCTGTCAATCATAATATGATATGTGTTCATCTCTGCCCTGTATGTGCTGCTGCTTCCTGCATTACCGGTTTCTGAATGTTGGGAGGTAATTTTTGATGACGTGTATTTGAAGCCTAAAATTTTTCATTCATGAACCCATTTGAAGAGGCTGTAAAATATGTCATGTTTTAGCATCCCATTATCTTAATTTGGCTATCCAATGAATAGATATTGTTGAGGGTGTTTTTATTTTTAAATATCATCTCACATTTTTTCTTATACACATTTTTTTCTGATACCTCGATCATAATTTATTTATTTTTATTATTTATTTACCTTTCTTTAATAATATTCCACCTAAAAATCTAACAATACATCTAAAAACACCTACAACTTACAAAACACCAGCAACTTAAGGAGGGAGAAAGACTTATAGCTGTGCTTTTCTTATAGCCTTCCTACCTTGTCTCTTCTTCTCCCTTCCCTCTCTTCTCTATCTGTATTTAATTTGGTGATGACAACCTAAACATTCATACCACATTCATACTCAATCTGACCATTTGGGATAATTGGTCTTAATAATATTTACAGAATTGATTCCTCTATCTTTTTGAATCCTTCACTAGTCCCAAAGATGTTTATTTGATTTATTTTGTCTTTCATTTTGTACCATTGCGGCCAATATTTATTTTTTTTTTTTAATGAATTTCCAAATTTTTCATTGTTTTGCCCGTATCCTTTCTCCATTAGAGCTTGATATTCCACTTGTTCAAACAGCTCTGCAAAATGTATTTTTGCACCACTTTTTCATTTCCAAACCAGTTCCAAATTAAAAGCCAGGAATAAGTGAACAACTATGTCTACCATTTTTATTTAGCATCTGTATGTCAATATGAAACAAAGCGAAAAGTAAAATTGATCTGATTTTGAAAGGATGAGAAATAATGAGTTCCATGCCTGTATAATATCCTTAAATTCCCACCATAAATGAATAAAGGAACCTACCTCACTAGAACATCTCCAGCATGTTTCGCTATATTGACTATTGAATTTAAAAAAAAAAAAAATTGGAGTCAAATACTATTGGAATAGGAGTTTGAAATATATTTGTAAAAGATTTACATTATGTGTAACCTATTTCGTGAAATTTATAGCTGTTTTCCATTTTCATGTTTTCCATTTCTTGCCATCTCTTTATTTGCATCAATTCAGAAAATGGTTCTGGTTGATTGATTAAATTATACATGGTCTTCCCCATCTTATTTTCTATTTTCCCTAGGAATATTGCTTCTATATTTTTGTTCTTTTTTTTTTTTTTTACCTCAGTATCTCCTTTTCCGAATAATTTTTCAGTCTTAAATAGTTTTGAGATAACATAATTGAGTCATAATAGTTTTTTTATATTTGGAAGACCTAAACCACCTTCTTTCATGGTTCTAGATAATACTTTGAATGCCACTCTTGGTTTCTTATAGTTGCAAACGAATTGATTAAATATCTTTTGAAATTCAGATACTACTATTTTTAGGAACCGCTAATGGAATAGATCTGAAAAGAATTGTAAGTTTAGGTAGTATATAATATTTGTTTTGTTTTTTTACTGTTCCTTAACAGCACACTTTTGGTTTTTCATGCTGCAGTTCTTGTGTTTTCAGCTCTACATTCCACAGATCTTGTCTACCCTCTTCCACACATACACACACACACACACACACCTTCCTGACGGCCAGTTATATGCTAATGCAATGAATAGATATTGTTAATAGATAATACTATGCTAATATAACTGGCCGTCAGGAAGGTGTGTGTGTGTGTATATGTATGTATGTATTGATGTATTATTATAGATATATAGTAGATTGGATTAGCTGTATTAGTCTGCTTTGGTATTTTGGCATCTTATCTCTATCTGTCTGTCTGGAATGTATCCAGTCATGCAATATGAAAAAGAGAGCCATTTAAGATACAATAAACATTGTACATAGGACAATGATGCCTTAGTCCCCTTTGGGACTTAACATAGTTTTCCTAGTGTCTCTTCCACTGTTCAAAACACTCTGCAGAATCCTTTTTGAAATTGCCTTCAGCTGCCTTGTCATATTTACCTGAATTACATCGAAGGTCTGAAATCTCTTCCCTTTCAAAGCTGATTTTAATTTTGGGGAAAGAACAGAAGTTGCAGGGTGCCAGATTGGGGCTGTACTCTAGGCACCCAGACCACTTCAGCTTAATGAAGTGGTCTGGGTGCCAGGTCCAGCTAGGGTTAACCCATTTTTTTATAAACATAGCAGTTTCAGAGAAACTGCTATGTTTATGAATGGGTTAAGCCTTCCCCCATTTCCTCTAGTGGCTGTCTCATTGACAGCCACTAGAGGCGCTTGCGTGATTCTCACTGTGAAATCACAGTGAGACACGCAAGCGTCCATAGGAAAGCATTATGAATGCTTTCCTATGCGACCGGCTGAATGCGCGCGCAGCTCTTGCCGCGCGTGCGCATTCAGCCGACGGGGAGGAGGATCAGAGGAGGAGAGCTCCCTGCCCAGTGCTGGAAAAAGGTAAGTTTTACCCCTTTTCCCCTTTCCAGAGCCGGGCGGGAGGGGGACCCTGAGGGTGGGGGCACCCTCAGGGCACTATAGTGCCAGGAAAACAAGTATGTTTTCCTGGCACTATAGTGGTCCTTTAAAGCGGCGCTGTCATGGCCGAATTCCGTTTTTTGTTTTTTTTTTAACCCCCATCACGACTCCACTACATCTAACTGACCACCTAGTCGCCCCCAAATGCCCCTAAGCCCCCCATATTACCTAGTTTTTATCTTTATTTTCTGCCCCGACCCATATTCAGGGCGCCACCATCTTTGTGTGGGTAGAGGAAGTCCCTGTGACACACGTCATCTGCCCACACTAGATAGACTGTGAGATTCCCAGCCTGTGGCTGCTCACTGTTTAAAACAACAACCCTACTATCCAGCCCCCACCCCTGTGCGGCGGGTGGGGGCCCTAAATTACAATAAGGGGGGACCTATTGTCCTCCCCCCGGCCCCCATCCCTGAGCGGTGGGTGTGGACCATAAATTACAATGGGGGGACTACTGTCCTCCCCCTGGCCCCCAACCCTGCGCGGTGGGTGGGGACCTCCTGTCCTCCCCCCCCCGGCCCTCACCCTTGGGCGGCGAGTGGGGGCCCTAAAACAAATCCCCCCCACCACCCCAAAAAAAAGTTACCCCCTACCTACCCTCCTCACCCTAAAAAATAGTGAGGGGGGAATAAAATAACTAACCTGAAAAGAAAAATTAAACTTACCATTTGATGTCTTCTTTTTTCTAAAATCTTCATTTATCAGCCCCCAAAAAAGCCAAATAAAAAACCATCATACCCGTCGAACTTAAAATAAAATAAACCCGAGCGCAAGAAAAAAAAACCTGACGAAAAAGAAAAAACCAGAGCGCAAAAAAAATAATCCACCTTCACCCATGGAGGGCTCCGGGCAGACTGAGCTCTGCAGGGCGGGGCAAGGCTTATAAGGCCTTGCCCCGCCCTGCAATTAGGCTAAGAACACTCTGATTGGTTGGTTTAAGCTTGAAATCCATCCAATCAGAGTGCTTTCTGACATTTTACACAGCGTGGGAAAGTTCTTTGGAATTTTCCCACACTGTGTAATTTGACTCATAACACTCTGATTGGTGGGCTTGGAATCTAACCAATCAGAGTGCTCTTCCAAAGAACTTTTCCACGTTTCACCCCTCAAGTCTTCATCATTTATATCATTTATATATATATATGTATGTGTGTTAAGTTATAAATTTACTATCTGTACTACAAGCTTATTGATTACATTTTGTACACCTACCAAAATCTGACCTTGTCATCCATATGTTTTATGTGATTAAACGCACGTCAAAATAGCATTCTGAAGTTAGTCCTTTGCGTTTGTTTCTATCTACCGTACTTTTATGGAGTTGTCGCTTAATGAGTCCAATGATGATTATGGTAAGTAAAAAACGTTATATTATACGCATGTTCTAGCCATTTGCTCAGTTGAAATTGTATTTCCTACAAATTGCCACTATCCCATGTGGCTCGACAGGTGCTCTTTAAATCACTTGATCAAACTATCCTTATCTGTACAATAAAATATGCTTGTTTGCATATACTGAATGTACTGAAGATTTCATTAGAAAATTCTACTTTTGATCCGTTTTCTGTTAAGCAGAAGATTTTAATTGCTTTAGTAACTGCAATTTACTTATGGATATGAATAAGCCATTTAAATCTACAGAAACAGTGAGCTTTTCTGTTTAATTATTACCTGTTCCCTTAATTTTTAAATGAAGTATTAGTTATCATGGGAAGATCCACCGGATGTTTGCCTAATACAGACTGTAATTAGGGTGATGCAATGAGCATGTTACTAGCATAATAGTTTGAAACCCTGCTTCACGGTCATTGGGCTGGATTTGGTTTAAATCCAATCAAAGGCGGTGACAGCTATGTTTTGTTCCCCATTTTAAAAGCTTCCTTTACTAGAGTTACACATGTTTCTTCGATATCCCTGGGAAATCATTTTTAAGTGTTTTTTTTTTTCCTTTCCTTCATTGACATAGTTAGGCGGTGATATAGTTAGTTTTAAGGCATTTTCCATTATTGTGTATGCAATATGAATGTCCGAGCAATTTTTTATACATAAATGTAGGTTCCTTGTAGCAAGCGTTGGTTTAAATCACTAGTCAATAATCATGATTTTTAAATGTAAGAATTTACTCTTGTAATCTTTAATATTTGCAACCGGATGATTTCATATTAAGAACAATAACTTTTCAGATTATCATAACTGATTTTCTTATATACTATTGAAAATACTTATATAGATAGTGATAACATTGCAACGTGAACTATCGTCTGTTTAATTTAAATTGTTCTCCAAATATGAGTAAACCTATTAAAGATGTTTGTTGTGTGTATGTAGATATACAGAATAACAATGGGATTAAGGTATTTTTCTGAACTTTTGAATGTTTTTAAAAAACAAAACAAAACATTATTGCTGATAAAATGTGCATCTTATCTCTGCAGACACAAGTTCAACTAACTTGCATTAATAGAATTTGTTTACCAAAAATGTAAATATTGCATGAATATGCATCCTCCTGCTACATAACTAATCCATATTCCATGCTGAATAGCCTTTAAACTTTATCATAACTTAAATAGAAAAATATCTTACATGGATTTTTCCTCCAAAAGCATTTTACTTAAAGAAATCTGATATTTAATATTTATTAAAAAAATGTTGGTTACAGAAAGATGTTAATGTACAGTAAGAGGTGTAATCAATAGGCACTTAATTTAAAAAAAAAATAATTTTAAATGCTGCAATCCACACACTGTATTGTTGCCCAGATGCACTACCTACCAAATGTGGAAAATAATAAAAAATGTGTGCTGTACATTCCCCAGAGGAAATGCCTTGCACTGCACAAAATGTTAGTTTCTCCCCTCTGCACATTGTGTTACAATATAATACTTTGTGTTTAATAAAGCATGTCTCATATGTGGACCTAGTGCTATGCAAGCATTTGTATGTTAAATGGGAGAAAAACCCACATAACAGGACTCTGTGTTTCTTTTCTTTTTTTATTTTACCCCTGCTTTGACACTTGTCTACTAGATTGTGTTTTGGAATGCATCATACAACAGTTAATTTACCTAGCAGTGAAAAGGCCTCTCAACTTAGATTCTCTCCATCTACTTAGAGAAGCAGTGGGGGGCAAATTGTATGCATTGCAGTTGTAGCGATTCATCCGCAATGCTTCTCATTGAGCAACATTGAATTGAGTATTAAAAGCATAGTTCATCATGAAGCACCTGTCTGACGGCTGGCAGGGTTCAACTTTGGCACATTATAAGAGTGCTGATTTATTCTCGTAACCAAGAAAGGGATTTGGAAATCTCCTTTAAAAGTTTAAACGTGTGTTTGCTTTATTTTCTTCATAAAGTAAAGCAAGCTTTATCTTACCAGTGTATGTTTTTAATTGTGTATCTTGTATATTTTCAGATAACTATATGCTCCATGACTTAAAATTCCTTCCATCTGGTTATTATTACCAAGACCGCTGGATATCTGGGAGATCATTTGTACGGCAATTCAGCAGGCCTTCAGAAGTCACTGCATGCTTACAAGGCAAAGTAGTGCATTTATTTGGGGATTCTACAATCAGGCAGTGGTTTGAATATCTAACAGAGTTTGTACCAGGTTAGACTTTTTATTTGTTTTATTGTTACATTATGTAGCTTTTAAGGAAATATCACACCGCAAACTGTTATTTAGTTGGTGGATTTGCATACTGTTTTACTTGTCTGTACAAGTTTCCTTACTATGCCTTTTGTACATATACTGTGCACCTGTGCTAAACATCAGAGGTTTATGGGATACTACAAATACTTTAAATCAAGATCCTCTCTTACAACTGTCATTAGTCTAATACTATCCTTACCATTTGTGTCATTTTACCCCACTCCCTCTAGCATGTAAGTTCATTGAGCAGGGCCCTCAAACCCTCTGTTCCTGTGTGTCCAACTTGTCTTGTTACAACTGCATGTCTGTTCGTCCACCCATTGTAAAGCGCTGCAGAATTTGTTGGCGCTATATAAATAATAATAATAATAAGATTGACTTTGTGGTACTGCAGATCATGACCGCAAAATAAGCTATCATAAACTTGGAAGTATTTTCTTCTCATGAACATGAAACCACCTGTACTATACATATCACATAAACATTTACAATATTCTCATTCTGAAAAATAGCAGGAGGCAACTTTGTCCCTGTTATCTTAAACAAGAAGAGCCAGTTGTAGAAAATATTGTTCAATAATGTGACTCTTTGAATGTATAAAACAAAAATTCCAGAGCTTTTAAACAACTAGCACTTCTGTTTTTAAGCAACAATTATTTTCACATTTTAGTATGTTTTATTTTTTATTTTTAATTTTTATTTCACAGATATTTACAGGAAAATCCCTGTGACCAATACGGTCACAAGACATGAGTGATATTGTGATTAATATCTATGAACCTTTACCAACTTATTTTTAGGTGCAATGAATGCTAGCTTGTACCTCTTGACTACAACTCCAATCATTGACCCTCTTTTTAAAGTTTGGCAGTGCCAAATATAAGTTCATTTGTATTTTTTTTTTTTTTTTTTTAAGTACACTCTTATACCATGTATATTATTAATTTGGGATTCATTATATTGAGCATAGGATACCAGTTCTGCTCTCATTTTAACCTCGTTACAATTCATATTATCAAGCTAATACTTCTGAAAGGTCATGTTGGTAGTTAAGAGGCCCATGCCTGTTATAACTGTATTTTATGCTCTCTGTTATTCTTTTTAACAATATACAATTTTTAGCAATATAATTTAACTGTGAGAGCATAGGAGGTCCGTGTTGGCAACAGATGGTGTTTGGGAAAACCCCTGCTTCCTAAAGAAACAATACATGTAAGACCTTTAGATTTCAAATATATAATGTATAATGCTGGAAGGGAAATATGAGTTTGTGCTTTTGCAGTAACATTGAAAAGCAAATAGTGTATTTCTTCCTGTATTTCAGATTTTAAGCCATTTGACCTTGGGAGCCCTAAAAATGTTGGGCCTTTTTTGTCCATTGACGTTGAACATAACATAATGCTGAAATTCCGCTGCCATGGACCACCAATCCGTTTCTCAACGGTTTCTAGCAACGAACTCCGCTACATTGCTAATGAACTGGATGGAATAGTGGGTGGACAAAACACAGTGGTGGCTATAACCATATGGTCTCACTTTAGCACATTCCCTGTGGAGGTTTATATACGGCGTTTGAGAAACATCCGAACAGCAATTCTTCGTCTGCTGGAACGGAGCCCGGACACTGCAATCGTTATACGCTCCGCAAATGTCCAGGAGCTAGGGCCTGAAGTGAGCCTATTTAACAGTGATTGGTTTTCATTGCAGCTTGACACGGTCATGAGGTCTATGTTTGCAGGTATCCATGTTCTTATTGTAGATGCTTGGGAAATGTCACTGGCCCACTATCTCCCACATGCATTACATCCTGAACCAGTCATTGTGAAGAGTCAGATAGATGAATTTTTGTCATTTGTATGTCCAAATTAAAGTTACTGGCAAAGGAGAGAGTGTATCATTCCTTCCACACCAAAATATTCATTGGCGTTTATTTGATTTCTGCTTAGTTTGTAAGCCATAAAGCCCTGTGAACTACAAAAAGGTAATGCAGAATTATTAGCATATAATAATAAAACTACTTACTAGCATATTAAAGTTGCTGAAACATTTGTTTTTTTAAATTAATATGAAATTAATTACAACATACTTGGGTCAGTTTTCATACGCGTCATTAAGGTTTTATAAAAAAAAAAAAAATCAAGAGTAGATCAGCGCTAACAGGCCACAGAAAAGGGCAGCACGCCTATAAACATGGGGTACCCTCTCAAACAAAATGGAGTGTTTCATAAGGACACTTGTAATTTTAATTAAATGCTATTTATTTGTATACACAGGCGCTACCTTTTGCTCTTTTTTAATCATTAACCCCTTAAGGACACAACTTCTGAAATAAAAGGGAATCATGACGGAATATTTCCGTTGTGTGTCCTGAAGGTGTTAAGGTTTTATATAGTAACCCAGGTGCTTTCTAGCTAGACTGTGTTTCCTTTGAATCTTAATGGTTATAAACGTGTGAACTATGATTGATTTAGCAAATTACCAATTTTATTTTACAACATTTGGGATTTGTGGTATTTTGGAGGCTTTGTCACGTGATATCAGTTTTAAAATGACCTTCCTATCGCATTACGTAAGCCTCCCATGGTAAATTTAGCTCTAATTACTGCTGGAAGATAGCACATTTTTGTAGTGTGATTTTTTTTTTTTTCTTCACATCAAGGAATTGCATTACTTAGAAACAGTTCCTGGTATAATAGTTAGCTGGTATAAGCTGCTGAATCATGTACAGCCAGCAGCTATGTAGTACTTTAAATTCCGTAATTTGAGCTGTTAAGCTTACAGCAATCCACGCAGGGAACGCAGTTATTTGAAAAACCTGTTAATGCAGAATCCCACAAGTAACCCACATTAGTTAGAAACAGGGGCTTTTTTAGGGTCCAGAAAAACCTTGGCTTAAAGGACCACTATAGGCACCTAGAACACTTCAGCTTAATGAAGTGGTCTGGGTGCCAGGTCCATCTCGGATTAACCCTGTCTGCTGTAAACATAGCAGTTTCAGAGAAACTGCCATGTTTACATATGGGTTAATCCAGCCTTTAGTGGCTGTCTCATTGAGAAGACGCCAGCTTTCATAGGAAAGCATTGAGCCCGGCGGGACGGGGACCCTGAGGATGAGGGGGACCCAAGGACCCTATGGAGCCAGAAAAACGAGTATGCTTTCTTGGCACTATAGTGGTCCTTTAAGCCCAAAGCAAAATTTCTTGACACCCACGCTATGCTATGTCCTCTCTTATCTACAGACAACCAACATGCTACTTATACACTCCATAATATCAAGGAAAGCATAGCTGGAAAAAACACAGCCAGGTATGTGATCCCACCTAACTAAGAGAGGGATGTGCAGCAAAGTTATATTCTCCAGCACCCCTTCCCAACAGTCTCCTAATACCCTTCTGCCCCTTGACTACCTATAGAGATCCCTGGAGAAAGAGTTACACATCCAGATCCACAGCCCCCAAACAACCACCCCATCAACACCTGTGGTTCTAGTTCTCTTCAACTGCTGAACAGATCTTACAGATCACTTCAGCTCATTATTATTATCATCAGTAAATGAACAGACACGTGGTTATGTTTTCTGTTTAATACAGTGACAATGGACATAGAATAAACCATCACATTAAAGAGTCTATGCTCACTGAAGGGAACATCACTGTTAAAGGGCACATATGCAAAAATTGACAAATCAAGACATAAATGTATTAATGAGAGATCCCATATTTTAATGCATGTGTGAGTGTGTAAAGGGAGAGTTGTGATGTTGTCAAGTATGCAATTTCTTGTTTCCATATGGCAGTTCACAATAAGTGCTTTATGATGATAATTATGTTTACTGTCAGACATTTATATATTTGCTCTAAAATATAATGGCTCTAAGATGGTTAACATTTTAGGGAAAGATTACATTTTGGGAAGGTTTTCATCCATAATTAAAGGGAAACTATAGCCATCAAAACAACTTAAGCTTAATGAAGCAGTTTTGGTGTACAGATCATGCCCCTGCAGTCTCACTGCTCAATTATCTGTCATTTAGGAGTTAAATCACTTTGTTTATGCAGCTCTAGTCACAACTCCATGCATGTGACTTGCACAGCCTTCCATAAACACTTCCTATAAAATAAGATCTAATGTTTATGCTTCCTTTATTGCATATTCTTATTTCCTGCTCTGTTAATAGCTTGCTAGACCTTACAGAAACCTCATGCGTGTTATTAAAGTTCAATTTACAGAGCAGGAGTATAATGATACGGCCCTGGTGTCTGACACTGAAGGTGTACTAGTTCAGGCAGGCTGTCGTCGGTGGGTTTCTTTTTAAATAACCTGCACCAGTAAACTGCTCCACTATATGCTAGGTCTCATCTTTGGTAGCGTATCTACTGGGAATGCTACACTGGTATGTTTAAAATAGTCTATATCTAGTCCTCTGGCAACATTCTTATTAGTAGATACTCTATAGAGGGCAATGAATAGCAATATACCAGTGAGACCTCCAGGAAGTGACAAAACAAGCTTCTTCTTGGCAACACAAAGAACCTTTTTATTGTAGAAAACCCAGCTTACAAAGAGGACCCAGCATTCAGTAAAAAAACACTGCACAAACACCACCACCAATGGGAACACACAGGAAATAACTGGTTAGAAAGTGATTAATTACACTAGTTCTCCCCCTCTCCCCCTCCATGTGCAAGGCCACCCTGACAACAAAAGGTTATCTTGATTGGCCAGGTAGATGTCTGGACCCACTGTCCCTTCAGAGCAATCTCTGATCACATTAACACAGCCCTTTGCAGTAGATGACATTCAATTACAAGTTTAGACTTACTGGCTCTCACAGCAGGCGATCACTTACAGTACAGAACTTGATTAACAAACAAAATATATTTCACACCTGACTATGCTTTATTCCTGCACAGAGAGCTACTGTCCCTTCCCCTCTGATCAACTGCTGCATATACAGACAAACACACTGCTCTGTGTATAATATAGGTACACACAATACAGAGATGACTATGCACATTGCAGTCGCAACATCGCACTGCGAGCTTGCACAAAACATATCAGGGGGTTCAGACCATACATCACAAGGAGATAAATACTTTTAACTATGTTAACATCTGATTTAGAATGAAACCAATTTTGTTTTCATGCAGGCTGTGCCAGTCACAGACAAGGGAGGTATGGCTGGTTCCACATAAACAGAAACAAAAGAGATTTAACTCCTAAATGACAGAGAATTGAGCAGTGACACTGCAGAGGCATGCTCTATACACCAAAACTGCTTCATTAAGCTAAACATGTTTGGTGTCTATAGTGTCCCTTTAGCATATTTTCCCTGCAATCCAAATATAGTCTTTGGGATTATTCTTTAAATTCGGAATTGTGCAGAACGTGAAGGCGATTGCAAATTTTACTGCCAAATTTGCTCAAATGCATAGATTCTGTCAACTTGGCTGTTGTCCAGCTTGGTTATTTAGACTAAACGTTTTAATTCCCTTCTCAGTTATCCACATTTCCTAGTTAAAGGGACACTGTAGGCACCCAGACCACTTAGCCCATTGAAGTGGTCTGGGTGCCAACCCCCATTACCCTTAACTCTGCAAGTGTAATTATTGCAGTTTTTATAAACTGCAATAATTACCTTGCAGGGTTAAGTCCTCCTCTAGTGGCTATCAGACAGCCACTTGAGGGACTTCCGGCTTCTTAGACGACTTTTAGATATCTAAACAACGATTGACGTCCTCAAGCGTCGCCGGAATCCCCATAGGAAAGAATTGTGCATTAGATCTCCCCCGCCGGCGGGGGAGGAGTGTGGGTGGAGCCTGACCCAGCGCCGAGGGACATCAGCGCTAAATTTGGGTAAGTGACTGAAGGGGTTTTATCCCATTCAGCGACATGGGATGGGGTGGCGAGAGGGAGAGGGGCACTCCAGGATTCTGCAGTGCCAGGAAAACGGGTTTGTTTTCCTGGCACTAGAGAATCCCTTTAAGAGGATAAATTCAACTGTGTAAGTTTACAGTGTTCTTATGCTTGTGCAATTGACTAGAAGTGGTTTCATATTGTGGTGTCTGTTTAGTAATGAATAGGCAGGTGTTACCAGCCATCTAAACTCTGCTTGCAATATGATATGTAACTAGTGATTTTTAGTCCTCACTTCTTATTTGTAACATGTAACTGCAGATTAGCATATTGTCAAACTATTCTTTTATCGAGTTGTAGAATGCACTGAATAATGCTTATAGTATAAAATAGAAATGAAAAGTGCAAATTCAGGGGATATCCAAATCCTTTATGTCCTGTTAATTGACTATATTAATAAGGCCACATAAACCTGGTCCATACTAATAAAAGTACACATTAAATCACCTTATGTGTATTTTAAGTATGGTGTCCCTTGAGTAGTTTCATTAAGAACCAGAATGTTTTGTATGAAATGAGTATCGTATTGGGCCTATGGGTGCGTGTCAGCGATGCAACATGTGTCACTAGGGATGTCTAAAAGGGTATTGACGTGTAGTATATGTAATCCTTGTGCGGAATGCCAAGTGTGAGCATGTCAAATGATGCGCATGCCGCAATTCTGGATGATCTTGCTGAATCCCAGAAAGGTGTGGTGGTCACATTTTAGTTTCTTCTTCTTAATATATATAAGACCAGATGTGCCCTTTTTTTTCATTCTTGGTTTTGGAGTTTAAGGGATACACTAAGCACCTATTTCCAAACTGTCTTAAGTTTGGTATCCCAATTTTGTTCTCACCCCAGCTTAGTTCCAAGGTGCCTCACATATTGGGACACCATTGAGCTGTCTGCAATACTTGCTTGCGCTATGCAGACTGCAGTCAGGGCATTAATTCCACATCCAGAGCCTCTGTAGGTGCGCAACTCTCCAAAATCACAAGAGGAAACTGTGAATCCACTGTGATAAGCCGATGCTTTCAGCCATGGGGTGTGCGCCTGGGGTGTTAAACTGTTTGAAAATACTGCACCCAGGAACTCCAGACCCCAAGACGTAATTAAGATGAAGTTTGGAGCCTGAGTGGTCCTTTCATTTCCAAGATTATCTGATTCACTCTCAGACAGCTGGTTGCTGTATGCTGGTACACATTAACCTGACTGCCAAGAGTGTAAATGCAAATACAGACATACAGATGTAGGACATATAGACCTGTAGATGTGTGTAGTTGTTTTCTCCTAGTGTTTAGGATATGGGTTTGTAAAATTTTATGATCTAGTAAAGCATTATAGTAGGCTTGTCAGATTAGAAACACACAATTATTTAATGCTTTGATTTTTCTTTTTTTTTCTTCTGGTCCACTGGTTTGTTATATTTTTATGGGTACGGAAATATTAAAATGTATTCTCTAGAATAAAAATTAAAAAGGCCTTTCATGAAGAAACCACACATTTCCAAAAATACATGCATTGCCTTCTCTTCCTCCTGCCTACGCAGTGTTATTTAGAAACATTATGTTTACAATAGGAATAGCATTAACTAATAGATGTTATTTTTATTATTTTGTGTTTGAGAGAATTGGTGGGGGACATGTTTTGAGTGTTTTAATAAAGATTTGTATTTTCCTGAAACCGAAATGCCTACTTCATTTAAATGTACAGTTAGTGAAAATAGTTTTCTTTTCAAATTACAAATGAAAAGAGAAAATATTATATATAATAAAAAATAAATGGATGCATTTTGTTCATAATCCATTTATACAGTGTGGTCGTCATCTAGAACCAGGAATGTCCCTTTAAGGACAGGAAGACCTTTATGACCTTCTTACCTTCTGATGTTGGTACCTGTGTGGACAAGTTCGGTCTCACTCTGTCATACACATTTTCTTGAATAGAGTCCCCCCTTTCCTTGATTAAAATTAACCATGAACTTAATGATACATTTTTTAAATAAAAACACAAAACACAGTAAGATAATGGGTATAATGATGTTTAATTATAAAACCCAGTGCGGTTATATATTTTTTTTCAATTTGACAATTTTTATTTTGTCATAAGGTAAACACAGATGGGGTACAGAAGAGAAAAAGGGGAGGGGGAAAAAAAGGCTTTAATGTAGTACAAACCTACATCTTCATTACACATTAGGGTAGAAGCACACTACCTTGTTCAATATGTTGTTGAATGTGAAACTAATAATGATGATAGCCACAGCTTAGCTGCTTAAGACTGAGCGGGGATAGGGTGTTCTACGTGTCTATGTGGGTTTAATGGATTGCTGGTGACCAGGCCATAAGTGACCTTCGCTTGTTCCCTCTCATTCCTGACTTTGCATTGTGTCTGTAGTTTAACAGCTGTGTATCAGGGTGACTTCTGGCTTGCTGGGCTGCCATGAGTGAAATATCACCTCTAGTAGGGGGTCTAGGAGCAGCATTAGATTGTCTCTTGTCTTGGCGAAAATGTCTCGAAAATGAAGAAAAGTAAGGAGGCTGGGGAGTTTGGTACATTAACCGAGGTGTGTTGTTTTAGTGATATGACATCTCTCCAATACGGTTGGAGTTTCGAGCAATTCCACCATGTGTGTAGGAACGAGACTTTTTTTTTTTTTTTGCAACGCCAGCATGTGCTTGGCATGGATGGGCACGTAGTAGCAATGCATGTAGGGAACATGTACCAACGGTTAAAAAGTTCACGGGTTAGTTCTAAGTGAGAAGCACAAAATGTCAAACCCCTGTACATGTTTACTGAAGCTAACCAGGTAGTTTCCGGTAGTGTCCATCCCAAATCTTTTTCCATGATTGTACGCAGGCAAATGACTTGATTCCAAGTCTGGGCAGTAGTAGCGCGTATATAGCAGAGATAGGTTTGTTCACCGGCGTTAACGCCATGAAAATCTTTTCAAAGTTTGTGAGGGCAACATTGACCTATGGTTTGGATTGCGGTGTATAAGACCTCCCCTAAGATGTCAGCTGTAAGTAAGAATGGTGTGCGATGTTCGGTAGTGTATAACTGCCTTTCAAGTGTTCGAATGTCGCTAATTTACCCTTATCCAAGAGAGTGTGTAGATAGAGTACACCACACCTATTCCAAACTCTGTAGTTAAAGTCAGGTATAATAGATACTAACACCCTAATAGGAGTCGAAAGGGGGGTTGGATGGCAGCTGAACAGGAGTTTGCGTGTGACGTCCCAAATTTTTAGTGTTGCTAATGTAGCAGGGAGTGCTTGCGATGTGTGTTCCCTTTGGTGGGGTAATAGCCACACCTCAATATTGATATCTTGTCGGGGCAACCAGTGTTGTTCTATGGAGACCCATTGTGGTGGGTCGATAGGGTGATTGGAGAAAAAAACAGCTAAAACCGTTGCTTTGTGGTGCAGTTGCACGTTAGAAAGACTCATTCCCCCTCATACGAGAGGGGTGGTACAGTGTGGTCAGGGCTACCTTCGTTTTTTCCCCATGCCACATGAATAAATTGATCTGTTTTTAGATTGAGAGGCAGTAAGCGGACGGTATTTGTAGTGTGAGTGTCCGAAACAAATATTGTTACTTTGGTAAGATTACCATTTTTATGTCCGCTATACGACCTGACCATTATATAAATTTATTCCTCCATTTTTGGAGATTGTCAGTAACTTCCTTGCTAAGTTTAATATAATTCAGGTGGTACAACTTGGACAGGTTATGTGGGATTTTAACACCCAGAAAGGTGAGATAATCTGTTATCCAGTCATGAGTACTTTCTTTTTAATTGGTATAGGTAGTCGTCCTCCACCCTCAACCCCACGGCCCGCGTAAGGTTTAGCTTATAGTAAGAGCAACGAATGTATGTCTGTAATATGGAGTGAAATGCTGGTAGGGAAGTATGCCGGTTGGTTATGGTCAGCAGGATATCATCTGCGAAAAGTTCCATTTGTGATGGGGAAGGCTGTCGATTGGAAGCCTGATGTAAAAACTCGGGCTTCAGGGTTACTATTTAATGATCTGATAACTGAAATGAAATGGGTGGGAAAATCAAACGTAGTCATGACCGCATGCAGGAACTGCCAATGCAGATGGTGAAAAGCTTTCTCCGCATCTAACGACAACAGAAGGCTGTTGGTTGAATGTTTATGCATGGTGTGCAGAAGCGCGAGGGCTTTATGCATGCCATCTGCTCCCTGTTTGCCATGCACGAAGCCGACTTGGTCGGAGTGTATGATGGTCAGGAGAATTGATGTCTGTCTGTTGGCATAAACTTTAGCTAGGATCTTTACGTCTGAATTTAGTAGCGATATGGGTCTAAAGTTGGCGCATTGGACGGGTGGTTTGCCAGGTTTGGGTAGGATGGCAACGTTAGCTGTTAGCATGTCTGTCGGTATGGACTCCAGGGCCATAGTTAAGGTGAAGAGTGATACCAATTGGGGGGAGAGGATGGAGGAGAACTTTTTGTAATACACGTTGGGAAGCCCATCTTGGCCTGGCGCCTTGTGTGATGGTAGATTTTGTAGAACAGTTTCTACCTCTATTAATGATATAGGCTTTGCTAGGGATGTCATTGTGAGGTTGATAGTATGGGTTAGTGAACGCTGGACAAGAAATTGGCTATTTCTTTCTCAGTAGGTTGATGGACCAGTGGATCATTTTTAAGGTTATAGAGTTTGTGATAAAGCTCTGCAAAAAGGTTTCTAATCTCTTGTGACTTGATCACTTTTTTCCTGTCTGTCGACAGAAGGTGGGATATTTTGGATTGGGCCTGTGCATCCCTGAGTCTGGTAGCTAAAAACTCGCCTTATTACCCATGATGTAAAAGGTACGAGTCGTATGAGCAATATTAATATCATTTAGCTCGGATTGGATTTGAACTATGAGTTCAGTGTCTGCAGGGTTGGGGTTGAAAAGATGGGAGGCAGAGGCATCACTCCGTTTACACAACAGATTTAAGGATTTAGCTTGGGAGGCTTTTTTAATGAAGGAGGCTCTTCTTATGAACAAACCACGTATGATGGCTTTATGGGCCTGCCATATCAAGGACGGAGACATCCCTGGTGTATCATTAAGAGAGAAGTAGTTCAAAAGTTCAGATTCAAATTCTGAACAAAACTTCTCGTCCTGCAATATGGAGTCAATTATTCTCCATGGGTTACAGTCTTGAAAGCTAAAGTAATCCTTAAATGTCACTATCAGTGGTGTGTGGTCCGACCAAACAATGTCCCCTATGGTGCATGTCTGAACCGACTTAAGAGAAGGGCCAGTTACAAGTAACACATCTACCCTGAGTATGTCTTGTGAGATTTCAAGTAATAGGAGTAACATCTGTCTGAGGGGTGTAGTGTCCTTCAGCTCTCATATAAGTTAAATTGCTGCAAAAGTTTTGTCAGTGCTTTGCAGTGTGGTGTGGCGGTACTGTGTGTAACAGTGTCTGTTAGGGTCTAAGACATGGTTTATTTCACCTCAAATAATAGTGGTGCCCCTCTGTGCAGCTGCCACCTTCGTTGGCACACTGTGTAAAAAGTTCCTCTGGTTTTCATTTGGTGCAGTTCGGGTGCTGAGTCGAACGATTCTCCATACGAATGACAGTCTCCCACATATATTCTACCAGTAAAGCAGACAGGTACCCAAACATCAGCTGAAACTTGAAGAAGGGTGTAACAGGAATCATTTTAATGGGTGCCACACTGGCTTTTATGCAAGTCCCCATGCCAGGTGCACACCCACATGGACCTTGTGAGGGACACGGACACAAAGGTTACAGCCAATAATAATACAGTGACAAAGTGTTACATTCCCAATGCAAACAGATAATTCTCTCCTCTCTGCCTGTGAGATAATTGAACCAGATACTGTAATAATTCAATTATCTCCAGGCAGAAAAAACTAAATTCACATTGAAAAACACCCCAAAGCACATAAAATGCCCATAAATATTATATCCACTGATATCCTTGATCTGGGTGACCAACATATCCAAAAATCATCCAGATCAGTTCAGGGGTTTTAGAATTAGAATTTTATGTAAGTCCAATATTGACCGACCGCACATGAGGCTCCTGCCCAGAAACTGTTCCATGAATTTAGGTTGTGTGGCCAGTCTATTTCAACAAGTCGTAAAAATGAATAAATGCACGAACTGCACCACCTGGCTCATAGTAGCGATTGTTCCCCTGGTTCGTGGGAACAAAACTACCGAACAGCGCTCTCCTGGCTGTTCGGGAAAAGGAAGCAGGCATTCGTACAGTTTGACCGGTGTTCGGGAAGTCAAGTGTTTAATTTTAGTTCCAGACACTCAACGACCCAGTACCGCTGCCTCCTTTCATGCGAACAAGATGGCCGCCGTTTTCTCCTGCACATGGCGTCCGACTATACGAACTGCAGCCACACAGGAAGAGCACTTAATTGACTGTTCTCTTTGAGGATAATGCGCCAGGGGGGTGGTTGGTGTTCGGTAGTTACAGCTACCGAATGGGGAAAAAAGTCAAATAACCAAAATAACACTGTAATTTTTTCACCAATTTATGAAAATAGAAGGCGGAGGTATGCCTTGGGTTACTTTCCTTTACAAGAGCATGGCTGGAGTTCATTAGGAGGGGAGAGTGTAACCGGGGGGGAGCAGATAGGGTGTGAAAAGAAAACCCCAAACTTTAAACCAAAGTATATACAGTAAGGCCCAATCTATGTGCAAGGCGCTGAAATACAGCACTGTGGTGAGCATGGGATCGGAGATGGTGACTGAGCAGGCTAAAGACATCATGGTGCTAAGTGCACAACACTTCTAAACAGTATACAAAATTGGTGACTCAGACCTTAAACATTGGTATGAACACAGAGCACCTTTTTTTTACAACATAGTGATGTTTCCCTTGGGAACAACAGCGCAAAAGGGGTTCTGCATAAAAATGATAGCTGACTAAGCAACTAGTGCCTCGCCAGTAGTATAATGTTGCCGAAGCAAAGAATACTTGCAGTGAGCTGTCAGGTACATGCCAGTCCTTGTCTACTCTTCTAGGCGACTTGGGCTCCGATGCTTCCCCTATGATGAACAATGTGACAAACTCCCCTTTTTCTGTGAGTTTGCCACAAGTTTTTTGAGGGGCCTGTTTGCTTGCATCCTACCCTGTGACTATGGGCCCTCTAATATACCGTGCCCAATACACTTTAAAAGGCTTCATTCATGTAATGTTAGTACTTTTGTACTCCACAAAGAGAGACCGACTGCTGGTCCTAATTCCCTGGAACTGTTTTGGGCATGAAGCCATGCTTGCAGCCGGTCAAAAAGAGACTTCCATGAAACCTTTGAACCCCTGCTCTGTTCTGGGTGATTTTTGGATATGTTGTTCACCCAGATCAGGGCTATCCGGGGTATGTTATGTTTTGGGGTACTATCTGAATTTTGTGAAAATGTGGTTTTTCTGTCTGGAGATAATTGAGTTATTTACAGGACTTTAATCAATTATCTCCCAAGCAGGGGGGAGGGATTGTGTGCTGTACATGGGCATGTCACAGACTATGTTTGTTCTGATTGGTTTGTGTCCTTTGTGTTCCTGTGCCCCATCAGGTCCAGGGGGTGTTCCTCTGGCCTGGAGAATTGTATAAAAGCCAACCTGATCATCTTGCTCCTTCATGAAGTCTTGGCTCATGTTTGGGGGATTGGAGACCTACACTCTGGGGATTGCTACAATCCCTATACTCCCCAGAATATAATCACTAAACTCTTGTAAGAGCTGTTCCTGCTCTCTGGATTAAGAGAGGTCTACCTACTGGAAGCTGGATCCTGGTCTTGGGTCCAGGACGGTGAGACCCCAAGCAAGCTGCGGCGGTTCGTGGGGTCTGCAGTTCTTATGGTGCTCCAGCGCAGTGCTTATGGTACTCGTCAGTACTAGGAAGCAGCGATTGACTAAGGTACTCGGTTGGAGTGCCAGGCGGTCCGTCACAGACAAGTTCCACTGATGTAGGAGCTTCACTCCGTCTTTCACGGTATGAATTACTTTGGTAGTCCCATTTCTGGATATGACTAGGCAGATGGGAAAGCCCCAGCGGTATAGAATGCGATGTGCACGCAAAGTCTCTGTCACCTTCTGGTTGGCCTTGCACTGTCATAGGGTGACTGAAGAGAGAGTGCATTCGAACACAGGCATACTCGGCTGGGAGGTCTTTCGCGGTTCTGCTGCGTTTCATGAGAAGATCTTTTGCATGGATATAGTGCGCCTTTAACAGCACGTTCTGGGCTAATGTGGCTTCATGAATTTGTTGGGGTTTGGGGACCCTGTGTAAGCAATCTAGCACCAACATATACATAGGGATCTCAGGGACCAGGATTTTGAAGAAGCTGTTTACATAACTTGGTAGGTCCGCTGGGAGAACAGTCTCCGGTATCCCCCGTGATCTTATATTACTTCATCGGGACCTGTCCTCTAGGTCCATAATCTTTGTTTCACATTGGCTCAATTGCGTAGTGAGGGATCGTATCTGCTCTGCAGAGGATTTATTCGCATCTACGAGTTTCTTCATCTTTGTCTCAACGTGTGCCATGCGGGATCCTAGTTTGTGCAGGTCCTGTTTGATTTCAGCAACACTGGTCTGCCAGATTGAGATCAGCTTTTGCGACTGGTTGTCCAAGGCTTGTTGGAGAAAAGCTGTAGTGAGTGGTTCTTCATCAGGCAGCTGATCCACCTCCGACCTCGGGCTGCTCCCTCCGGAGTGCTCGGGCGCCTTCTTGGAGGCCCGCAGCCGCAGTCTGCCTTGCCAGGGCTGCCACCTTTTTCTGGGCGAATAAATTTAGTTTTTCTGTTTTATCCTGCTGTCGGCAGGTCTTAGACTGCGACATCATATGATTTAGGTGCTGTTCCCCACGGGAAACTCAAAAGGGCACAGATTCGCCAAGCTCGTGGTGCAGAGCTATGGGCTCAAGCGGCCATCTTTCTCCGCGCCTAGACACGCCCCCAGTGCAGTTATATTTAACCAATAATGTCACCTTTACATTCTCCAAACTGGATAGTAGAGTATCCAATTTGGAGAATACACTACTATTTGTTTTGCCTATACTACACTATCAATGTTTTTTTTTATTTTTACTATTATTTATTTTGATGAGTAGAATCTTTTTTTGGTGGGGGGTTGGGTGGGATATTTTATATACACTTGTATCGTAAGTATAACTACTGTGTACGTTTTCATCTGCGTTTTTGGAGGCTTGGACATTTCTGAAATAAATCCCATGGGTTCAATTACAACATGCTCTAGACTCTGCTAACCAATGAAGTAAAAGGTGCAATATTAATCTTTGTCCAAAGTTGTCCTTTACAATGTGGCAGACATTATTCCAGTATAGAAATGGCAATGCAACTATCTTTTATAACATCATTTCAAATACTTTTTTTTAATAATATATTTCTCAAATAAAATCAGGTTCACTGGAGTAGAAAAAATGCAGAGAAAGTAAAATTAGATCATAAGATAGTCCGAAAAACAGCAGGTAAGCTTCACCGTAGCATAGAAAAGAGGAACTGCTCAAGTTTCACTGGTGTAAGGCAACTTGCAGTTAAGTGATTTTGTGAGTAGAGTTCTTTAAACCTGACACCTATGGAAATTCTTTCATACTCAAGATATATTTCCATAGTAGGGGATATCTAAGAAAGTGATGTGACATAATGGGAAATCATATAAATTATGTTTAAAAAAAGAAAAAGAAAAGGCAGTCCACTAAATGACAAATAAGAGAGTGTGAGAAACTATGGAGACTGGGAGGGGGAGGAGGAAAGAACACTGTGGGACAGGGGAGGGGGGAGGAAAGAACACTGGGGGGGAAGAACACTATGGGACAGGGGAGGGGGAAGAACACTATGGGACAGAGGAGGTGGGGGAAACACTTATGGGGCAGGGGGGAGGAAAGGAAAAGAGAACACTATATGGGAGCAGGAGAACACTGGGGAGGGAGGAAAAGAGCTGTATGGGGCAGGGAGGTACTATGGGGCAGGGGAGGGGGAGAAAAGAACACTATGGGACAGGGAAGAGGGGGAGGAAGGAACACTATGGGACAGGGAAGGGGGGGGAGGAAGGACCACTATGGGACAGGGAAGGGGGGAGGAAGGAACACTATGGGACAGGGAAGAGGGGGAGGAAGGAACACTATGGGACAGGGAAGGGGGGAGGAAAGGACACTATGGGACAGGGGAGGGGGAGGAAAGAACACTATGGGACAGGGGAGGGGGAAAGAACACTGGGACAGGGGAGAACACTATGGGACAGAGGAATTTAAGAACAAAGTAGCTGTCTTGGATGCATATAAGACTTAAAGAATGTTTCCAATTCAGCTATGTATGCCCATGTATGCCCAGACTAACCCTGGTACAGTATAAAGTAATAGACGAAGGTAAGGATGTTGCTTTCATTCATATAGAATGTTCCACAGTCTCCTAGACCAAGACCCTTAACCATGGAATGAACATCATCTATAGGTACATGTCTGAAATGGTGTAGTAGACTGAAAAGACGTCATCTGGCCCTGTGATTCAAGCTATCTCCCTTCCGGAAATATATCTTAACTGTGATTAATATATAGGCAATAATCATCTAATGTGTATATGGCTTGGTTTGCTGCATTCCCCCCTAAAATCCCTTTTTGGATACAAATATTAAGAATTCTCATAACAGCTCCAGTTTCATTACCAGAGCTTGGAAACAAAAACAGTTACTGTAGATACCCCGCTCTTGCTAACAGCAGTCAACCACGAAAGCCAACTGGAAAAGGATACCTACATATCCAAAGTCAAGCCAAGATGTGATGATAATTCTGTTACGTGTCCCAATTGGACTGCGCTTGTTCTTGTGATGCAATGAAAATGAAACTGCTGCAACTGTCATTTGCATCAGGAAATCTAAAATGTTTGTAGTAAATGGTAATACTTTCACTTTAGTGAGTCATTACTTTTGAGTTACAAATACTTAGCAATGTTTCCTTTTTTCACTTTTAAAGCTAAGCACAGTATCCTCTAGTAAATTGCTCCTTACTCTGTAATTTGTACAGGAAACACTCCAAACAGATTTCAGCAAAAGTTATGTTCTGAGCTAAGGAGGAGGATGTTACCACGCGTTGTGTCGTGCTTCTGGTTCTATGCAATCTGTGTACTGGTGTTGAAATGGGAACTGAGTGTCTCAGATTGATGTGGTTGTCAAAACCTATGGGCAGCATTATTATAAGTTCACAGTCGTGTCATTCTAGCCAAAAGTAATATTAAATTACGTTAATCAAGAAACAGATGAGGAAGCCAGAGTTATTATATTAATAATTAAAATTCAACCAGAAACGTATACTCTAGTTAACGTTTATGCACCAAACAACCCCCCAATAAGTATTTTTCTAATCTTTTAGACAAAGTAGATATAATTAAAAAGTGTAAATTACTTATTGCGGGGGATTTTAATTGAATTTTGGACGCTAGCTTAGATAAAAAAAACACTAAAAGCTGGCGAGACAAATAAAGTCGTAATTTCACAAGCGGCACAATTCCAAAGAATAGTTAGAAAATACGGATTAATGGACATATGGCGTATCTTCCATCCAGGGGAGAGGGATTTTACATGCTTCTCCAGAACCTATTTCTCATACTCAAAAATAGATTTATAGAATACATTATCATGAAAATAATGGCTGAATTTAATATGAAAACGAATGAACAAATGGGCAAAATTCAGTTCAGACAAAACAATCATTTTTTTGTCCGTATGTATTCAGAGGGAAAAAAAAGTTCTGTGTCGCCCAAGTCTAATAAGGATTGACATACCCAAACGAGTTAATAATCTAAAATATGTACAATACTCTGTCACCACAAAGTGCTGGCTCTTCTAGGCGAAACGCGCGTTGGGACTTATGTAGCGATGGTTAGGCATTCAGACAAGGGATGATACTGCAGTTGCCTTTACAGACAGAGACAAGCCTCCACGCTAGAATTTTATTATTAGATCGATTTTTTTTTATTGTTCATCTGCACTCTTATTATTGTGTTGCTGGGGGTTCTGGGGATTAGGGTTTTGCTTTTCATACAAGTTTACTCAGGATACATGGGAGGGTGCTTAAGGTTTAGATTTTTTTAAGGGGTGCCCTCGAAGGCACATTAGAGCTTAGCCTCCTTCGGACTAGATATTCGTCTTTCCTTTGCTCCTACCCACCTCCTCCATAGTTAACTCGTTAGTTACTATCTACAGCTAGGTTTTTCCTTACCCGTTTTTGGTTTCCCTTTCCTCTCCCTCACTCCCCCTTATGTTTGCTCACAGCAACATTTAGGATTACGTAGAGTTGGGATTTAGTTATTTTATTGCTTTGTAGTTTAATTCACACACATATATATTATAGATTCCTTTTTGGTGATAATATCTTATTGAAGAGCAAAAATTCCCTTGATGTCTTAATGTTCCATAACAGTGAAAACTATTTCAGAACTTTGCTGTATTACTCATGTGGTTTTGGTCTGTGGAAGCTAAACCACGTGGGGCAGCATTTACCCCTACTTTTTTTGTAATAAAAATATAAAAAAATAAATCTACTAGTATGGTAAAGACTAATTTAATCCCTTAAGGACACATGACAAGTGTGACATGTCATGATTGCCTTTTATTCCAGAAGTTTGGTCCTTAAGGGGTTAAAAAAGAACATGTGCCCATCATGATTAATTTAGTAGTCCACCATCCCTTTATTGATAGCTAAAGAAGTTGCTGAGAGGCTAAGCAACTAAATATGTTATGATTTTTGTCTGCTTCCTGACTGGCTGGTGGCTGGGAGTCGCATAGTAGGATGAGCAGCAGGGAGTAGACACACTAATTTGTGGAATGAGACACTAATGAGGTGGGTTGAGGCAGGGACGCTAATAGGGTGAGGAGAGCCAGGGACACTAATTGGGTAGGTCAGGGGCACTAATGGGGTTAGGGCAGGGACAGTAATGGAGCAGGTTGGGAGCATAAACAGTAATGGGGGTAGGTTGGGGCAGGGCGAGTAGGAGCAAGGGTGGGGCACTAATGAGGGTGGGTTTCAGGAAGAGACACAAATGGGGTCATTAGGGACAGGGACACAAATGGTGGAGGGTTTATTGCAGGGTCACTAATGGGTTAGGGGCATAGGCGTGCGCACGGGGTGTGCCGGGTGTGCCTGGGCACACCCTAATCCCCGTGGCACGCCTATGGTTTGAGTCCTGCAGGAACAGCGTCCCTGCACTTTTTTGAGCAGGAACGCTGTTCCTGCAGACACTCAGCACCCCCTGTCTCACCTCTTGCCCCTGTCATGGGGAGGGCAAGAGGTGATCGATCCCCCCCCCCCTCTCTCCAGCTCAGCCGCGGCGAGGGAGCTGTGTGATGTCTGCGCTCTGCTTCCTCTCGCCGCACGCTGATGCCGGAAGCCGGAATATGACGTCATATTCCGGCTCCCAGCTGCAGCAGACAGCCCGCGCGGCGAGAGGAAGCAGAGCGCAGACATCACACAGCTCCCTCGCCGCGGCTGAGTTGGAGAGAGGCGCCCGCCCCACTGGACCCCAGGGACAAGTCCACGCCAGCACTCCAGGTAGGAGGCTGGGTGGACATTTTTTTTTAATTAAAATGTAATAATTTGTTCTTATGTGTGAGTGTGTCTGTGTGAGTGAGTGTGTCAGTGAGTGTGTGTGTGTCTGTGTGAGTGAGTGAGTGTGTCTGTGTGAGTGAGTGTGTCAGTGAGTGTGTGTGTCTGTGTGTGAGTGTGTGTGTCTGTGAGTGTGTGTGTCTGTGTGAGTGTGTGTGTGAGTGTGTGTGTCTGTGAGTGTGTGTGTTGGTGTGTCTGTCGGTGGTGTGTCTGTGGTGGGTGTGGTCTGTGTGTCTGTGTTGGGTGTGTGTCTGTGTGTCGGTGGGTGTGTGTGTCTGTGTGGTCGGTGTCGGTGGTGTGTGTGGGTGTGTGGTGTGTCTGGGTGTCTGTGTGTGGATGTGTCAGTCTGTGTGTGAGGTGTGTGTGTGTGTGTCGGTGGGTGTGTCTGTGGATGTGTCGATGTGTGTCGGTGTGTGTGTGTGTCTGTGTGAGGTGTGTGATGTGGCCGGATGTGTGTGATCTGTGAGGTGTGTGTGTCTGAATGTGTCTGTGAGTGTGTGTGTGTGTGCATATATATATATATATGCTCACACACACCGCGCAGAGCCGGCGCTATCTGAGTGCCGGCTCTGCTTTAAGCCTCCATGGGCCGGCAGGGAGACCAAAGATCTACCTCACCGGCCCACAGCAGCATGGAGGGAGGCAGGAGAGGACCCAGGGAGCTCTAGACAGAAGCTCCGCCAGGTTCCTCTCGTGATATCTGAGTGTTGCTGCGTCAACGCTCAGATCTCGCGAGAGTTAACTCTAGCCCTGCAGGCTAGAGTTCACTCTCCACTGGACCACCAGGGATGGCACATGGCAGCAAGGATTTACTAATCTGCCAAATCCCTCCAAACATACAGCACACACATACAGCACCTACACACATACAGCTCACACACACACAGTACAATAACCACACCCTCACAAACACACACAGCACCTTTAAAAAAAATGCAACACCCTCACACACAGCACACTAACAGCACCCTCACAAACACACACACACACACACACACAAACAGCACCCTCACAAATACACGACACTCACACAAACAGCACCCTCACAGGACAAACAGCACAGTCACAAACAGCACAGTCACACACACATACACACAAACACCCTCACATCACACTAACAGCACCCTCACACACACATCACACTAACAGCACACTAACAGCACACACAGCAGTGTGTGTGTGTGGATATATCTATCTATATATATAGATATAGATATATAGATAGATATATCCACACACACACACACACGCGGCGTGTGTTTGTGCTTTAGGGTGCACACCCAAATGCAATAGGCTGCGCACGCCTATGGTTAGGGGCATGGAAACCAATAGGGTAATTTAGGAGCAGGAACACTAAGATGGGTGGGGCGGGGCACTAACGGGGTTGGGTTAGGGACAGGGAGACAAATGGCAGAGGATTCATGCAGATACACAAATTGCAGAGGGTTAGGGTCAGACACACTAATAGTGTGGGCGAGGGCCAGGCATACTAGTGGAAGGGATAGACAGGTACATTATTGGGTGTTTGGAGGGAGAGGCAAACTTTATATAGCAGTCAAAGGGAGCCCAACAATTATTTTCTTTGTTTTTATTTTTACTTTTTATTATGGCATTGGTAAACAATGTTCCAGTTTTTGGCATCCAAATATACCTGAATGGTAACTGATAATTTTTGCTAATCTGAAAAGAAGACATTTGGACCTTGTTTAATCACTAAATTGTAGTGAATTGAAATCTGAATGGCAAAAACAGATTTTTGTTCCCAAATAATGTATTTTAGCTTAAAATTTTGCATTAAGATTTCAATCAAGTTCACAATTCAGAATTTGTAGCGAATAAACCCCGATCAATGGTAATCCTGTGTTAAACCCGAGTCATCCTCCTGTCTTCTTGTACTGTAGAAGTAGTCCCCTGGTTTTTTTTCACTAAATAAAACACTGAGCTTCTGATTGACGTCATGCCAGTGTTCAGATAACTTGAAGGACTCTGGATTCCACATTTCTCCAAAGCTTCTGTATGTTCACCAATTCGGCCCCCTGTCCCCGCTAACTATGGGGGTCCCATCTCTTCTGTTGTTGCAGACCCCCCCCCACCCACTCTCTGAGTTTGCTGTATGACCATGTGCAGTTCCGGGAATGTCCCAGACTGAGCCCTGCACGTGCTATACCTGGGAAATTCCAGACAGGCAGCACTCAGTTTCTTGCTGGCTTGTATTCAGCGGCCGCCCAGTCAGTGCACTGTCAGCATCACTCTGCTCTAGCTACATACACTGTGTCCCTGCCTTAAGGAGGAGGACCGCCGCCCTGGTCTGAGAATCAGTGGACTGTCAGGAATGGACAGCTGACCATCATCTAGGTAAGACTACTTCACACGCCTTCTCTAAGCCATACATGTTACAGGGCGACATAGCTTGTTGCTCACAATACTCCACCGTTATGTAGAGAACCATTCTCTCCTCTAGTAATAACATGCCGTCGGTAACAGCTAGTTCAAGTTACTAGTTGATAGAAGTACTCTGTAAACAGAGAGATGGCAACACTGACTCTACAGCACTTAACTGACATTCCAAGGGTTAACATTAAAATATGAACATTCTAGTAGCTTACCTAACCCTATTCCAGCAAACCGCATATACATCCTGCTATTATGTAACGGCTTACAAGCACTGGAAGGATAAGGGGGAAGGTTTATTAAATGGGCGTATTCACTAATGCTGTGTAGGTCACGGTTTAGCAAAATTTGATTCAAGCAACCAAATAACTGTATGCTTTAAAACCAGTAACAGGGTAATTCATAAGCTCTATAAGAAAACAGATTGCTTGTTTTGGACCCTAAGTACGACTGTGATCAAATTGTAACTTTTCATTTTATAAACGTTTATTACATTTCATAAAACTTAAAGAACCACTATAGTGCCAGGAAAACATACTCGTTTTCCTGGCCCTATAGTGCCCTGAGGGTGCCCCCACCCGCAGGGTCCCCCTCCCGCCAGGCTCTGGGGAGAGGAAGGGGTTAAACTTACCTCTTTCTCCAGCGCCGGACGGGGAGCTCTCCTCCTCCCCTCCGCCTCCTCTTCGGCTGAATGCGCATGCACAGTGAGAAGCACGCAAACGCCTCTAGCGGCTGTCAATGAGACAGCCACTAGAGGCTTTAGAGGTTGGATTAACCTATTTATAAACATAGCAGTTTCACAGAAAACTGCTATGTTTATAAAAATAAATAAAGGGTTAACCCTAGCTGGACCAGGCACCCAGACCACCTCATTAAGCTGAAGTGGTCTGGGTGCCTATAGTGGTCCTTTAATTATATACTTTTAAATGGTGTACAGGCATACCCCGCTTTACATACACTCACTTTAAGTACAGACATACCCCCGTCTGTACGTAAAGGAGCCTCGTGAGTACAGACATTCCCGCGCCTCTTCCGTCAGCGAGGGAACAGGAAATGGAAGGTTCTATTCTCGCCCGGAGCAGCCCAGTTCAGTGTCTTTGGGGCAAGAACTTTTCATACCTTCTGACATGGCACAGGTTAATCATCTCAAAGTTATAATGCCTACTCCTAGCTGAACATATATTTTTTTTTCTGCCCCTAGATTGTCCTTATTCTGCAATCGGCTGCCTTCCAGTGAAAGAGTTTACCCTGCCATTTTCTATAACTATGACTTAGCAGCTTAGCTGCATTAGCCACAATTCTGAGGATTCAAAGTTAAACCATAAATGCTTAAAGTGATGAAGAGGTGTTTCTAAACAAAGTGTGCAACTAAGCTGCTAATAAATACAAATTGGCACTGTATTGGCAGAAAATGGCCCAGTGGGCAGGTTCATTTTACTTTTACTCCCAATTACTATTGCAATGCAGTACATGCATTGGGAAGTGATAAAAAGGATTGCTTCACTTTAAAGGAACACTATAGTCACCTAAATTACTTTAGCTAAATAAAGCAGTTTTAGTGTATTGATCATTCCCCTGCAATTTCACTGCTCAATTCACTGTAATTTAGGAGTTAAATCACTTTGTTTCTGTTTATGCAGCCCTAGCCACACCTCCCCTGGCTATGATTGACAGAGCCTGCGTGAAAAGAAAACTGGTTTCACATTCAAACAGATGTAATTTACCTTAAATAATTGTATCTCAATCTCTAAATTGAACTTTAATCACATACAGGAGGCTCTTGCTGGGTCTAGCAAACTATTAACATAGCAGGGGATAAGAAAATCTTAATTAAACAGAACTTGCAATAAAGAAAGCCTAAATAGGGCTCTCTTTACAGGAAGTGTTTATGTAAGTCTGTGCAAGTCACATGCAGGGAGGTGTGACTAGGGTTCATAAACAAAGGGATTTAACTCCTAAATGGCAGAGGATTGAGCAGTGAGGCTGCAGGGGCATGTTCTATACACCGAAACTGCTTCATTAAGCTAAAGTTGTTCAGGTGACTATAGTGTCCCTTTAAGTACATTTTTGTTTTACATACATGCTCTGGTCCCATTGTTTACTTAAAAGTGGGGTATGCCTGTATATTGTTTTTTTAATTAATTACTTTCACTTTTTATCTGACGGAGCATCCACATTGGGTCCGACTACTGTTATCTGACCAACCTAGGCATATTAGGTGGCATTTTCTCAAAAAAATCTGTATAAAAAACGAGAAGTGAAAATTTGATAACAGTTGTTCTTTAACATAGTCATGTCATGCCGTGATGTTTGCAGTAGCTGACCAGACAGGAGACACAGCACCTGCTCTGTTCACCCCATTCCCTCCACTGGCTGCATCTCTGACTGGGAGCCATTTTCTACTGATGCTCCTGCTGGTCAAAGACTGGAAGAGGGCATTCAGAAGAATCTGAACATTTTAGGTACAGAACTGTCTGGCAACCCACTAGACCACCATGGAAGGAATGCTCCTAGTTTTATGCTTCTAAAGTCCATGCTGCTCACCTTGTTTACTCCTTCTACTCTAGTTTTCCTCTTAAGTCTGCTCCTTCCTGCCCGGTGGGCAGTTTTCATGCCGGATGCAGACTGTGCTTACCTCCGGTACGTTCCTACGCTGCTGGTCGGAGTCCGGAGGGTGCCGCAGCAGACTCCATTGCTGCAGGCTTTAGAGTCAGCATCTTCTCGCCACAAATTTCACGCTGATAGACGCCGTACCTGTGCGCCTTCTTATCAGGTTGGAGACAAAGTGTGGCTCTCCACGCTTAGTATTAAATTAAAGGGTCCTTTTTAAACTAGCTCTTAGATATATTGGTCCATATGTAATTTCTAGAAAAAAATATTTGGTTTCTTATGTTCTGGTACTCCCTTCTGCCATGCGCGTACCAATGTGTTCCATGTGTTCCTACTTAAGCCTTTGGTGTGTAACAGATATACTATATAATCTATTATACCTGCATTATTGCCGTTGAAGAGTATGAGGTCAGTCCATTCTTGATTCCAGATTCTCTCATAGAGGTTTCCAGTATCTTATTCATTAGAAGGGTTATGGTCCGGAGGAATGCTCCTGGTTTTATGCTTCTGATGTCCATGCTGCTTGCCTTGTTTACCCCTTCTACTCTAGGATTCCTCTTAAGTCTGCTCCTTCCTGCCCTGTGGGCAGTTTTCATGCCAGACGCAGACTGTGCTTACCTCTGGCGCATTCCCACCCAACCGATCAGGGTCTATAGGGTGCTGCAGCAGACTCCATACCTGCAGACAGCGCTCACATCCGGTACACTTACAAACACCTGCCACTGCACAGTGGGGCCATATAAAGGCTCTGCCTATGAAAATGATGTTAATGTGCGTGACATTGAGAATAACGAATCACAGTCCTCTTTTGGGTAATTAAACTTGTTTTGGCCCTATGCCCAGTCATGTTTTCCTATTCTAGTTAATCCGAGGGAGCGTTTATCTATTGATTATTGTGTATATTTGACTTTTGGCCTTTCTGATGCCTATTGTCCTTGACCTTGGCTTATTTCACCGTTTACCTTCTTTCTGTACTCCTGACCTTGCTCTGTTTATTATTGTATGTACGTTAAATTCGGCTATTCTAAGGACCGGTAAAACTTTTAGGTATTTTCTGTTTACCGTACTAGGTTCAGGTTGTTGGGTGTCTGTCAATACTGACATACATATTGTATTTTTTTCTGCTTATTTCTTAAAGGGACTCCCCAGGCACCCAGACCACTTCTGCCCAATGGAGTGGTCTCCGTGCCAACTCCCATCACCCTTAATCCTGCAAGTGTAATTATTGCAGTTTTTATAAACTGCAGTAATTACCTTGCAGGGTTAAGTCCTCCTCTAGTGGCTGTCTATCAGACAGTGACTAGAGGGACTTCTGGGTTCTTAAAACCCGAAAAGTGTTTTAAACGATGCTGGACGTCCAAACGCTAGCATGAGGACCTCAACATCTCTGGAGTACAATACCCTCTATGTCAGGGGTAGGCAACCTTTTAGCAGCACTGTGCCGAAATATGATTGTGATGTCCCAAAGCATGTTGCCATATTCTGCTTGTGTTATTTATACTGCATTTGCTTTATATTGTTGCATTTGTGCGTATATGAGCTATTTGTTCATTAATAGTTTGTGATATCATGTATAATACCTATGAATTTGGTCTGTGTATGGGGGCTGCTTGTGGAATTGTGTGTGGATGGATATGTCACATTGTGTATTTGGTAGTGTGTGTATGCGTGGGGCTGTTTGGGGTATTGCATGTGGGGTTGTGTGCATGTATGTGGATTGTTGGTGGTGTTGTGTTTGTGCGGACTGTGTGTGTGTTTGTCTTATTTGTATGAGGGGAAGGTTATTCTGCAGCTCTGATGCTTCCCTGGGTGGGGACCAGGTTGGCCAGGTACAGCTCAAGGACAGAAGCTGCAACAGGAAGCTGTGGGCTGCTCTACTCCAGTGTGGATTCCCATTCACAAGTGCTGGGAGGAAGTGATCTGAGATCACTTCTTCTACTTGCTGCAATGCATAAATGGAGGATTGTCTTTCATCACCTTTTCGTATTAGCAGATATCTGAAGTTTCACTGGGACTCCTGACAGGCCAGAGCCTGTTTGGCTCTTGTAGCCTTGAGTGCCGTGCATGGCACTAGTGCCGTAGGTTGCCTACCCCTGCTCTATGTATACCTTTGCAAAGGATTAATCATAACCCTTATCCTAGCAAGAGTGTTAGAATAATTCTCTCCGATAATATCAGCAGAGGGCTTCACTTGCTGACGTCATCAGAGCCATTCCCTAATTCTTACCCTTAACGTTATCATTTATATTAAACTTAGACCATAACACTAACATTGAGCAGAAAGTGTACCTGAACAAATATAATCAAAATAGATAATTAAAATATGGTCTTAACTCCATATTTATATACAGACTGAAACAAACGTAACACTGTTAGAAATCCAGGAGTGGGATATGACGTCATTCTGGCATCGGCATTACTACTAGGCATGTGAGGGACCTGTGCAGGAAGAGCACAGAGATACCAGCCCAGAATCAAATACTAGCCACCAGGGACAGAGGATTCACTCCATCCCAGAGCAAGGTAGGGAGGCTGCGTGGATCTCTTAAGTACTAAATGTATATGAATGTGATTTTTTTTTGTGTGTGTATGCCAGTAATTATGTAATTGTGTGGGTTTGTGTGTATGTCTGTGATTGTGTATGTATTTATGTAATTGTGTGTGTTGGTCTGTGATTGTATGTGTGTGTATATCTGTGGTTATGTGTGCATATGTATATTTGTATGTGTTTATGAAATAGCTTCCTAATTTGGTATCATTAATTATGGCAATCCTACATAATCCCACATATGGCAATCCTTCCATGTGTTTCAATTCCCCTCCCCCCCGTCCCTGCATGTGTCTCAATCTCCACCCCAGTCCCTCCCATGTGTCAGTGTACCAAACATATCCACATTTATATACACACACACAATAACACAATAGGTGTATGTCCATGTGTGTATATCTGTGATTGTGTGTGTGTGTGTGTGTGTGTGTATGTATGTATGTATATATATATATATACACACACACACACGTGTGTATGTATGGGATGTTTGCGTGTGTATATCTAATTATGTGTGTTTGTAATTGTATGTGTGTGGGTCTGTGATTGTTTATGTGTGTGGTTGTGTGTGTATCCCTGTAGTTAAGTGTGTGTGTGTGTGTATGTATATATATATATATATATATATATATACACACACACTTAACTACAGAGATACACACACAACCACACACATAAACACAGACATACACAATCACAGACCCACACACATACAATTACAAACACACATAATTAGATATACACACGCAAACATCACATACATGCACACATTTAATAATTAAGAGGTCCACCCAGCCTCCCTACCTTGCTTTGGGATGGCTAGAGTGGATCCTCAGTCCCTGGTAGTCAGTGGTTGCTGCTTGGATCCCTGTGCTCTTCATGCACACGTCCCTTGCACATCCTGTAATATGACACCGATGCTTGGATGATGTTATGTGCCAACTCACTGCAGGGCGAAGACAGTCAGATACAGACAGATGTACACCGTACCAAACACATAGTCACTTGCACACTGTCAAATGCACAGCTGCAGGTAGACAGTAACACACACAGTTACAGACAGACAGTCTCACACACACACACACACACAGCTACAGGCAGACAGTCACACACACATACACACACAATTACATGCAGACAGTCACACTCAGTCCCAGGTAAACTGTCACAGGCAGACATTCACAGGCATAGACAGTCACAGTCAGACAGTCACAGATGCAGTCCCAGGTAGACAGTCACAGGCAGACATTCACACACAGTCACAGACATTTACAGGGAGACAGTCATAGACGCAGTCACAGGCAGACAAACACACAGTCACAGCCATAGAGTCACAGGCAGACATTTACACACACAGGCACAGGCAGACAGTCATAGACGCAGTCACAGGCAGACATTCACACACAGTCACAGATAGTCACAGGCAGACATTCACACACATACATACTCTCTCTATCTCTTACTTACTGGTGGAGGAGTGGAGTCAGTGAGTCCCTGGTGTGTTGGAGTTGGGGAAGCAGGGACTCCTGCTTCCCCTCAGTGTGCTGCAGTGAAAGGCAGCAAATGGAGGCTGGCTGTAGCTCCACCCCTGCATCCGGTTTGGTTCCGCCTCCACGACCAAGTTGGCTCTGCCCCCAATTCTCCGTGCAGTACTTCTGTACTGCTGAATTCCCAGCCCCTGCATGTGTGAGCTGTGTGGCTCCCGGCACCCTGTGCAGCCACACAGCTCACAGAGTCACAAGCCTGGCCAGCCCTGGAGGCACCCCCTGCCCCCCCTTAGTACGCCACTGCCTCTACCCCATCCGCTTGGCCATGCTACTTGTTCTGACCGGCAGGGAGGAGGAGCGCTGTGCTCGTATACTGTCGGTCACTCTGCGACCGCGATCCCAGGCCTCACCAGCCGTGAAGTGATGGCAGCCCATGGGCAGCTGTGGCTGGGCCCCCTGTAGTGACAGGACTGGTCGCAGCTGCGAAGCTTGCGACCGTGGTAGTTACGCCACTGCACCTATGGCATTAGCTATCAGAATAGTAAGCTAATGGCAGCTTTTTGTAATGATAGCTTGTATTAGAACTGCCACTACATTTGCTATCATTGTTAGTAAATTTTACCATTTGGTTTCATATTTCCAACATAAGGTTCTGGATTTAAAGTGAACCTGTAAAGGAAAAAAATTAAATACCTTAAATCGCTTCAATATATCATAAAGATAAATAGTGTATTCAGTTTAAAATATAAAGATTTATTAACTTTTCATCCTTACCAGGGCCACTTTATGGGTATTTCTCTTCATATAACACCCACATTCCAGGCCGCTCTTTGTTACACCGGTACTCAGACTCTGATCTTCTTCGATTTGCCCTGTCCACCCACACCATGGCCCTTAATGGAGGTATGGGATTACACACTTCCTCCGAGTTGTAACAGTACCAGAAATGGGTGTTGTGATAGTCTTAAAGTTTCTCAGGTAATCACAATAACTCATTGCTGCTCAGGCTAATACTTTCTCATTAGTCCAAGCCGCACAGAGGACTTTAGTTTAGCATTAATACACTAAAAATGGTTTAGCGCTAAATGGAAGGATGGTGCCAGGGGACTCCAGACACTGTACCAATTTGAATGTGGTGACTCCCATTACCATACTTGCAGTGTCCGTTTAAACTGAATGTGCAATATTTTGAACCTGCCATTATTATATATATAAAAGTATTCTGTCAACTTGGTTTACTCACAAAACACCAAACAGTAGTGATTTGAAAAGTGTAATTTTAGATTTAGACTAAAATATCCAAGCTGAGACTATTGCTTAATTGAAGACTTTTTTCAAACCTGCTATATTTGGTTTTCAGTTCGCTACAATTAATAAATTCCTAGATGTTTTTGATGTTTAATAAATTCCTTGGTATTGATTTAGATCAAAGCAAACTTTGATTAATTGTCTACCTACTCCTTCCAAATTGATTAATTAATGCGTGCATGCTCTTCCTAGAAGTAATTCACACCGGAGACAAAGTTTCAGATTAGTGAAAAACCTGAGGAATGCTTAATTCCCCAGAGTGGGAGCCCCTTTTAAAGCAGAAATACGTCATGTACAGAGTCACAGTTAACATACAGTATAATTGGTTAACAGTCTAAGGGGTCTTGTGTAAACCCACCCTACAGGATGTAATGTCATCATTACAGAGTTTTCCCACCCACATTCCAGCTCCATCTTGGTTACACGATTGGAGAGGGAGTGAGTAGTTACTGAACAGAGAGGGGCTGAAGGGGAAACAGTTACTTTAACAACGATTCTCCATTTTGTTACACGTGGCACATAGCTGTTAGCTTGCACAAAGGAAGTGGGGGAGGAGTTAGTAAAGGAAGCTGTTCTTTTAACACAGGAATTTGTTACACGAGGCTTGCTCGATGGGAATGGGGGAGGATAGCCGGATGGGAGGAATTTACAGAGGAAATAGTTACTGAGCACACATGTACACAGTAAAAAATAAATTTTATCCTTTCAAGTATTTTGTCCATAACAGTATTTTTGATGCTCTGTCAATATAAACACTACACAATATAAGCCACAACATTAGCCGGTTAATGCCGTTTATGGCGTACTATGCCACCTGCACAAAGTGGGCTTAAATGCCGTTAGACTGCGTAATAGTTTGCAGCCCTCTTAGCATATTATACTTACCATGCCCGGTGATCCTGATCTGAAGAGGACTACCTGACAACCCAGTCAGTTCCCCTGCAGTCCCCAATCTGGCTCTTCTGGGCCATGTGATCGCAATGGCATCGTGCTCATATAACCAGGTCGGCAGTTTGAATCATTGTCTGTAGGGGGACTGCCTGGGTAGTGAGGCAGTCCCCCAAAACCTGCAAAAAAATAGTGAAAAAAAAATAATTAAAGCATATATATATATTTTGGGACTACTAAAAAAGACTCAACATAACCCATTTTGAATACCCTGGGTTGTCTACTTTTGCAAATAGTATGCCATTATTGGGTTAGTTCTCATTCTTGGTCTAAAAGGCAAGATAGGCCCTGCAAAACAATCTGGCAAGCTGAAATAGACAATACCTATATTTGACCCAGTACCTTTCCAAAACCCCATAAAATCTGTACAGGGGGGTACTGTTGCACTCGTGAAACATTGCTGAACAAAAAAAATATGAGTGTTTTACAGCATTGTATATTGATGATATCATCAGTGAAACTGCAGTTTTTGTGTGAAAAATGCAAAAACAATAATGAACACTGGCTTTGGCCAGGGTTTGTGACTAAGTAGCTACTAAAAAATACGTACATTTTTGAATACCCTCGACTGTCTACTTTTGCAAATGCTATGCCATGATAAGCTTAATTATCATTCCTGGGCTGCCATACGGTCTCTGAGGCAAGCCAATCTAGAAAATTTCAGTGTTTAAAAACTGAAAAGTTAAAGGTGCTGTATTTAATCTTGTCAAAGGCTGGGGTGTATTAGGCAGCAAGTGAACAGTCAGTTCTCGGAAGCAGGAAAAATGGGCAAATGAAAAGATCTAAATGACTTTGACAAGGGCCATATAGTGATGCCTAGACAACTGGAACAGAACATCTCCAAAATGGCAAGTCTTGTGGGGTGTTTCTGGTATGAAGTGGTTAGTACCTACAAAAAGTGGTGCAAGAAAGGATAACTGGTGAACCGGCATCAGGGTCATGGGTGCCAAAGGCCCATTGATGTACTTGGGTGGTGAAAGCTAGCCCATCTGGTTTAATCACAACAAAGATCTACTGTAACTCAAATGTCTTGAAAACTTAATGCTAGCCATGAGAGAAAGGTGTCAGAACACACTGTGCATGGCAGTTTGCTGGTTATGGGTCTGCTTAGTCAGAATGCCATGATGACCCCTGTTCATTGCTGAAAAAACTTTTAATTAGGACTTGAGCAGTGGAGAAGGTTACCTGGACAATGGAGCAATGGAAGAAGGTTGCCTGTTCTAATAAATCATGTTTTCTTTTTGATCAGGTGAATAGTGTGCATTGTTTACCTCCTACACCCCTTCATGGCAGTGGTGTTCCCTGGTAGCAGTGACCTCTTTCAGCAGGAAAATGCACCCTTCCACACTGTAAAAACTTGTTCAGGGGTGGTTTGAGGAACTTGACAATGAGTTCAAGGTGTAGCTTTTGCCGGCAAATTCCCCAGATCTCAATACAATTGAGCGTCTCAGGGATGTGTTGTAACAACAAATACAATTCATAGAGACCCCATGTTACAACTTGCAGGACGTAAAGGATCTGCTGCCAATATCAGATAGCACAGGACAAGTTCAGAGGTCTCGTGAAGTCCAAGGCTTTGCACATCGGATTTGTTTTGCAGGTATGAGAGGGACATACACGCTATTAGCCATGAGGTTTTAATGATCTAGCTGACCCCATTTGGCTCATAAAGAACAGGAAGCTGGGATATAGATATAATTGCTAAAAGTAAAAAGACATTCAATAAAAGCACAGTGGGGATGAGTTATTAAAGTTTTCTATACTGATAAATGGAGCAAAATTGAAGGGAGGAGTCAGCAGTGGAATGTCCCTAATGGTTCCACTGGTTTTCATGGTGATTGCCTCAGTTTTAGTGCTTTAAATCATATTTGGGAAAAATAAATGTAATACATCTCTACCAGTCTCTTGCTGCCTCATGATAATAAATCTTGGCCATGTGTTTATTTTACCCAAAATGGAAAACATCCTTTGCAGTCACCCATTATTACTTTAAACAAGATGAAGATGTAATTTTAATTTAATTTAATGTAACAAACTTTTCAAATACAGTGAGGGAAAAAGTATTTGATACCCTGCTAATTTTGAACATTGGTAGGTGTATTTTAACAGTGAGAGACAGAACAACAAATAAAATTCAGAAAAATGCATGTCAAAAAAGTTATAAATTGATTTGCATGTCAATGAGTGAAATAAGTATTTGATGCCCTATAAAACAGCAAGATTTATGGCTCCCAGGTTTCTTGTATACAGGTAACGAGCTGAGATTAGGAGAACTTTCTTAAACGGAGTGCTCCTAATCTCAGCTCATTACCTCTATAAAAGACACCTGTCCACAGAAGCAATCAATCAGATTCCAAACTCTCCACCATGGTCAAGACCAAAGAGTTGTCCAAAGATGTCAGGGACAAGATTGTTGACCTACACAAGGCTGTAATGGGCTAAAAGACCATTTCCAAGCAGCTTGGTGAGAAGGTGACAACAGTTGGTGCGATTATTCGCAAATGGAAGAAACACAAAATAACTGTCAGTCTCCCTCGGTCTGGTGCCCCATGCAAGATGTCATGGAGATCTCATCTCCTCGTGGAGTTTCAATGATCATGAGAACGGTGAGGAATCAGCCCAGAACTACATGGGAGGATCTTGTTAAAGATATTCTCCAGAGCCAAGAAAACAAACCCGTTGAAGAAGTCTAGCTGAGAAAATGTTTGAGAAAAAGGCAGGCAAGAAGAATACTAAAGCAATAATTACATAAATGGGATTTAATAGGAAGATGGCAAAACTAAGGAATGAGGGGGAAAAAATGAGGGGAACTTTATGGGGAATAAATTGGAAAAAAAAATCTTCCATCATGCAGTTCCTTGGATATGAAGGTGAGAGAAGACTGATGGACAGACACCACAAGACAGTTTCAGGAGGGGAAAGCCAAGCTCTTTTTGTGAGTGAGTGAGTGGCAATAGGTTTGAGGAACTAGTAAGATAGTAGATGTTATTTTTTTTTCTGTGGATATTCCAATGAGTGCACTGAAAAGGGGAAGTAGAATCAGAAAATACACGGTGTATGCATGTGAGTAGCATGATTTGAAGGGACACCAGGTCTAGTATGAGAAAGGGGGGATCTGACATTTCACCACCCGGTAAAAGCAAAAAGAAGGAAAGTGAGAGAGGGGTGAGAATAGCACTTTACAGAATAGTTGAAAAGAAAAGTTGGCTTAGAAATGGAAGGAGGAAAGAGAATGTGATAGCACATGTACAGAAGAAAATGGTGATTGGCTAAGGCAGAAATTAGTAATAAGGGATTAATACAGAAAGTGTATGAGAATTGTAAATGGAAAAAGAAGACAAAAACAGGAACAAAGAAAGAGAAGTGAGGGAGAAAAGGGAACTATATTAAAGCAGGGGATGCTGCTAGGAAGGTTGAGAGGAAATAATATAAACACAGCGCTGCTGAATTTGTTGGTGCTTTATAAGTAATAATAATACTTTAGGCACCCAGGTCACTTCATCTCAATAAGGTGGTCTGGGTGCATTGTACTCCCCACTTGTTGTAACCCTGCAGCTGGAAACATGGCTGTTCTGTTTTCATTGCAGGGTTAACCTGCCTCTAGTGCTTGTCATACTGAAATAGCAGAGTATGAGAGTATGTGGTATATTGACTAGTGTGCACACTAGCTTTCATGCAGAGATATGCACTGTGAGGGAGAAAGGGTAAGAAAACTCACCTTTTTAACCCTTGCAGTGGGGACCTGGTGACCTAAATGGTGACTAGGGCACTATGGCTTATGAATACAGATTTGTATTCCTAACGCTATAGTGTTCTTTTAAAGAGCTACTCCAAGCACCATGACCACTTCACTGATTTGAAGTGGTCATGGTGCCTGGAGTCTACATGTGCAACGTTTCCATATGTAACTGCTGCACATACCTAGTAACCTTGCACCTGCACTTCTGACAGCGTACTTGGGACAATATTAGCCAGTCTAGAACAAGAATTCCAAACTGGCTAATATCACTTCTATGCATATTGGACATTTGTCATCAGCATGCACTGAGATCACGGATCATATAACAAAATCCATAAAAATATGTTAAATTATGTAAAGGAAACAAAGCATGGGTAAACCTAAGGACATGTTCTATATATGTATGTATGTTGTACACTCACACCTGGGGACTAAGGTGGCAGTTACACTTTGTACTCCCACTTTCCCACATCTTACATGCCAATTCTAGGTACCCCACAAAAGGGTAAATTTGGTTTATACATTTTATATATCAGTCTGTGAGTCGTACATTCACATCTTAAGAACTAGGTGGAAAGTGACTTCCCGAGCTCCTGCTTGGAGGTTGGGGATCTTTCCTCAATGCATAGCCATGACAGCTTTGCATTCCGTGGAAATGCATACAAAATGCCTGATGGCTCCATCCCACAGCATAGTGGCTTACATAGTACCTTAGATCACTGGGGGTCCAGCAGTGTGTGTTTGTGGGGAATACACCTCTCACTCACCTGAATTAAATAGAATTCTGGGTTAAGATATGTATCTCTTTGATGTGCCCCTTTTGGACAATTTCATTGGATAATAAAATAAGCACGTTTGATAAAAAAAAAAGTACTCTGAATGTACTTGCTGAAGACTGAATGTCCAGCTTGCCCCAGTATTGGACCTGCTCCAGATCAAAGATGGAGACAAACTGTTCTGTGAAAGCTGAGGAAAAATGCTAATATTTCTTTGAAATCTTACTTGTAATCGAAACGGGTAAATATAATTTGATACATACATTTTTAAAATTGTTTATTGAATAGAATTTTAGATAAGTAAGAAAAATTAAAACAAACTGATGCATTGTAACAGTTTATAAGAGCTTGATTTCAGATAGGCACAACCTGTATGTGTCACCTTTCATTATGTGATGTGTACTGGAAGGCACAGAAACTCCCTCTAAATATGAACTCTACAGGTTAATATATCAGGTTTATGCTTTGATTCCTGTTTGTATTGACTGGTTTGTAAGTGGATCCGAAAAAAAGATAAACACAACAGCACCTAATTGAATTAACTGCAGCTCTATTTCTACCACTAGCTGGCACCAAATGACTATAATCGCTTTTAAAATGATTTATCTGTTATTATCATATTTACCACTAGTTAGTACCAAATAATTATTATTACTTTCAACTGTGACATTATTAACAGCATGACATTGTTTATGAACACAAAACATTTTATGTATTTTATTTTTCTTAATGGTTGGGTTTCATAACTTTTATGGGATTTCACATCGCTTTAATTTAGAGGAAAAAAAAAACATGTAATTGTTAATCTACTGATCATCTGTTATAGGGGTATTAACAGCAAAATGTGTCTGTCTGTCTGTCTCCCTGCCTGTCTGTCTATCTATTTATCTATCTATTTTGTTCTTATGATTTTCATGGTCTGTATTGAATTTTGTAAGTGACCATAGCCTTCTATTAACAATTTGTGCAATTGTGGATGTGTTTTAGTGGTACAATCTATTTAATAAAAGTATTTATTAATATTTAATCATACCTTACTGGGAACTTTATTGTTGTTTAGCTTGTTCATATTCTTAAAGCTGCACTATTCAACAAAGCACTGAGGGTTCATCTTCTCGGACTCTCACAAGCTGCAGCCCAACGTGATTAACGCATTTCTCCAGGCTTTCTCAAAGTCCATACTTTGAGAAAGGCCGAAAATACAGGGGAAACGCATGGATGAGTAAATCAGTTGCCTTGCCGAACACTGTAGCCAATGGCTACGCTGTTAGAAAATATGCTTGCTTTTAATTTAATAAAGTATTGCATGTATTGGTGGTGCACCACAAGTGTTTTCTACTGAGGGACATGCGGTCCCCACTTAGCGTGAGAGTCAGCACTTAGGGTGTTGTTGTTGGCTCTGTTCACTGAACTGCACTCCGCTATTGGAGTATGTTTACCTTGTGCAGATATCTGAATTTGTCATAGAAGATTACAGAATACTATGTAATACTGTCCTGTCATCTCCTACATAATATTGGTTAAACCCTTAAGGACCAAACTTCTGAATAAAAGGGAATCATGACATGTCACACATGTCATGTGTCCTTAAGGGGTTAAAGTATGTGCTTTAAAAGTTGAAGAGACTCCCTATTGAGGTGTATGGTGATGGTAAGATGTAAAGTGCTTCTACACAATTGGAAGCTTTATTCTGTTTATTCTAGATCTTGGTCTAGTTTATATTTAACCCTATTAGTGTTGGAGAACTGGAAGAAAGTCCTTGAATGTTTTATTCCTGGAACATTGGACTTTTAATATTGGACTATACTCCGTTAGTTGGCTAAAAGGCCATTCCTCCTATATGTTTATATATATTTTGTTTTATTTTCATGAATTTTATATTGTGCACCAACCCAACTTCTGTGCAATTTAATAAATTTCATTCTGTGAGAGGATTAGAGGAATGCAGCAAATGTACTAATCGGCATTAATAAGTTATTATACAAGAGGATTTATTTTTTAAAGAGAAAGCTCCTTAGATTATTAACATTACATCCACCTTATCTATAAGAAAACGTGACTTATCACACCAGGCAACCTTCTTCCATTGTTCCATGGTCCTGTTGTGATGCTCATGTTCCCTTTGAAAGCTATTTCGGCAGTGGACAGGGGTCATCGTGGTCACTCTGATTAGTCTGCAGCTAAACATGCACTGTGTGTTCTGACACTTTTCCAATGTAGCCAGCATTAAGGTTTTCAGCAATTTGAGCTACTGTAGCTCTTCTGTGTGATCGGACGAGACAGGCTTGTCTTTGCTCCCCACGTGCATCAATGAACCTTGGGCTCCAATGACCCTGATGCCAGTACACTGATTGTCCTTCCATGCACTAGCTTTGGCAGGTACTAACCACTGCCTAGCAGGAACACCTCACAAGACATGTTATTGTGGAGATGCTTTGATCCGGTCCTCTAGCCATCATTATTTCACCCTTGTCATAGTCACTCATCTTTTCGCTTTCTCATTTTTCTTGCTACCAACGTGTGAAAATCAAGAACTGGCTGTCCACTTGCTGCCTATTATATCCCTCTCCTTGACGGGTGCAATTGTAACAATATTATCAATATTATTCACTTTGCCTGTCAGTGGTTTTAATGTTGTGGCTGATCAGTTTAGTACTCTGCATTTCGTCAGAGATTAGGTGTCACAAAGTGGTTTATTACACATTTTAGAGTTTAGGGTAAGAGTTAAGAGGAGCAAAGAACAACAGGGACATATTTATAAAGACAAAATCAACTGCTATTGTAGGGCTAAGTAAGAGACAGACACCATGCAAACCAGTAAAATGTTATTACTGGCATTTGCTATAGCTCCAAAATATTCTGCAGCACTATATATTATTATAAAAGGGGGATAACAACACATGAGACAAACTATTACAAATTGTGACAGGAACAAAAGGTTGATTAGGACCCTGCCGGAACAAGTTTACAATCTAGAGATAATGTATTTCAATGTTGAATGTGTTTCCAGATAGTAGTATCTGTTGTGCCTTTTCAAATGGGCTCATAGAGCGCTTTGAGTCCCAAAAATAAGCTGTACTTTCAAAAGAAGTTTAAATGGAAAATATGGATTATTCACAGCTGGAAATGCAGCAGTACTTTTTAAATTGTTTGTGGCTAAGTGGGTGATGTTAGTGGGGTGGAGTGCATATAATTATCTGGGGATCTGTGTAGGCACATTAATATTATTACATCACTCTTGTGCATGTTGCTCCTCGCTATATTTCCACACGCAAGCAATTATAGTGCCTTTTTTCAAGTTTCTAGATCTACACAGTGTGCAAAGTTGCAAAACAGGTGCAATTCCAAAATGGAAAGTGACGGAATACATTTTTCCGTGGTAATTTCCCTTCTTTTAGAACTTTTCACCACTTTTCACACTGCATTAGTTTGATAATCTTCCCCCAAGTCTACCATCAGGAGCTGGTGTAATGTGGCAGACGTTTACACAGGGTTATTGTGAAAGTTTTTTTAAAACTAAAGTGATTTAGCTTAAACTTTTAAATCCACTTGACGTTTCTGACAATTCACATTAAAGGCTTTTATTCAGTCAACACAAAACTGCAGTGAACTGACGGACAAATTACAAAAAAAAAATCTAAAATGCTAAAATACTCAAAATGTGACTATGGACTTTTTGCCTAAATTTCCCGATCTACGTTTAAGTTCCCTATACAGCTCAGTTTTTATTTTTTTATTTTATTGAATACCCTTGTTAGTGTATGAGGCTATATGACACATACGTGTGTCTCTACCGTCTTTTAGCTTGTCTTAGTTTCCAATTAAAATCTAATAATACTTTTTCGAACGCCTATAGTGTTAACATTTATTTAGTACCCTCTGCCAAATATTGTTGTGAAGCCCTATAGCTTTAATAGTGCACAAGCAGTGGAGTTATTTCTCCTTTTCTATCTATAAAGGATGGGTGTGGAAGGCATATAATTACACCTGCTGCTTGCTAGGGCTAGGAGAACCAGGGGTCATATTGCGCAACCATGTGCTGTAGGTTTACGGTAATTCCCGCCTATGTTCTGACGCCCTCTATGTTTTTTCCAAGCGACAGCCAATAGGCGCCTCGCAATCGGCATCCACTGTGCTGTGAGTGGCTGTTCCCCGGAAGGCGAGGGCTGGGCTGACATGGAATATAAAAAGGCTCCGGAGTTTCCCCGGGCAGTAGATTGTATCGATCGTCGCGTTCCTGGCAGTGAGCTCACACATTGGGACACTTTCCAAAAACGCCCCAGCTGTACGCAGCACCAGAGTCAGCGACATGATCGTCCAGAGGGATTTCGAGGAGTCTCTGGAGCTGCTAGATCAGGAGATGAGCAGCCCCATGAACCTTTCCTACTTTTACGGGGGGTCAGCGAGTTCTGAGTCGGGGTCCTCCCCAACTCACTCCATTGCCTCTAGTCCTGGTTCCCCGTCTTCAGACTGTGACTCAGTGGGGAGCCTGAGTGCCTCCTGGCCCAGCACCAAGAGAGGTAAAGCATCTGGGGTACCTTACTCTGATACATCCGAACTGGACTATAGGGGTGACAACAGCATGTGTCAAGTGTCTCTGATTTATTATTGTTAATGAGTGTTTTATTACATAATGAAAATATAGATGCAGGAAATTAAAAAAAAATGTGAATTACATTTCTTTTGTTACATATATACAATACAGCTCCTGTACTCTCGATTAATTATTATTTTTAGTATGTGTGTAATTTGAGACTGTGATCTACAATGTATCAAAAGTTAGTGTGCTAGATTAATACAAACTAATAATCAGGTTTAGGATGTTGTTTAAGGATTGCTTTTTCAGAAATGAATAGACTTCAGACTACTTTTCAGAAATACACTTCAGAACCTTGGAAAATTAAAAGGATTAATGCGGGTCCTATGGATGCTCTTGGCTTCGTATAGTTTTGTTGTTTGCTTGTTTCAGGCATAAGTAATTGTTGGCTTCTGACTCTTCAGTGGATGCATTGAACGTCAAAGTGTTTTATCACAACAGTAATTTGCCCCATGAGGTTGCAGTCGATGGCAGGATATTGCAATGCATCATTTTGGCTGATGCATGTATATGCTACATGAGGTGCTTAAAAAAAATTGCTAAATTTCAGGTTTGGATTATCCTTGTTGAATGTAATTTTTTTTTTTTTTTTTTAACTGATGAAATGTTTTGTCATTTTGCTGGCATTATTGTTTACCTAATTTTATAATTGGCTTAAGAAAAAGTTTGTTCAAGAAAAACCTCTTGTGTGGTAGAGCGTTCAGAGAATGACTTTGCTACATTGACGTCATGCATGCAATTTCAAGGTGCGCCCAAAGGACGCTGAAAAACTGGTTTAGTTTGCTTTGTCTTACAGATATAAACTATTGTCTACTGTGTGCGTGCAGTTATGTATTTTTTTTTCTGTACAGGATATATTCCTGTCAAATACCAGTTTCAACTGACCTGTAACTGACAATTGCGTGTCAATCCTTTTTTTACTTTATTTTTTTTTATTCTTTATCTGCATTCCAGCAGATTTTCACCCATCCATCATTGACATATAAACTTGTCAAGCTGTACACCTTACCATGACACCTGTACTGTAACTTCCTTTTAACTGCTGCCTTTAACTTTTTACAAGTTAAATTGCAGTGACACATTCTATGTTGCTAAAGAGAAGTTGTTGGGGGGGAAAAAACGGATTGCGAGTGTTCTAGCAATTGTACATTTGGAGTCATGCCAAACTGCAATAACTAGCCTGGCTGTCAAAATGTGTGTAAAATGTCATCCATCTAAAGCTACAGTGCATTTTCTCACCACCCCCAATTACAATGAAGATAAATGGTATGATTTCGAATACTGAACAGTATTTTTTTTCTCATTTAATTTACATATATTATTTTTTTTATATTATTGTCCTAGCAGATCACTTCCTTGGCATTGGTCGTCACCGAAAAGGAACCTTTCAAGGAGTCCGTGTAAAGAATCCTGTAAGGGAACTCCTATTGCAGAAAAGAAGTAAATTTGGGAATGTGGCAAATGAAACTCGGGTAAGGAGCTTGTTAGAGTATAGAATACATGCCTATGCATGTTTACACAATTAAGACTTTCTAACCTTATTTTCCACATTTTAATTTTCTATTTTTTTTTTTATTTTTCCCCAGATATCCAAAGCTGGAATGAATTCTGAGTCGTGTACAGGTATGTTTCTAGTAGGCATGACTGTACTTACATAGCTGACAATAAGTGCATGTTTGTATATACATTTTTCTTTTTTTCCCTTCCAATTCTTAGCTGCCCTTAAAAAAATTAAATTAAATTATAAAAAAAAGCCACTCGTATCATAAACTTCCCAGGCCATTAACAATTAATATTTTTCCAGCAAAGTACTCCACAAGTAATAGTTTTCTGCCAAGTACTTGTTAAAATTAAACAAGATAAATAAAATGCGTCACAGGGTGACATTATCCACAGCTAAACCATTGCTGACTTTTGGATGATTTATTTTTCCTTCTCAGAACTGAAAAACATTTTAAGAAACCACAAACGCACTCATGATTTCACTTCGGAAGCACCTGCTGCAAAACAGTTGTGTCCTTTTCCTTCTAGTTTTCTGGTGAGTATATTAGCAAGCATTAAAACTTAAGTGAATTTCTTTTTTTTTTTTTACTTTTTCTCTTCCTAAACTGGAATCTTATTCCTTCTGCAGACGCCCCCAAGCACTCCAAACCCCAACGAGTGTATGGATGAGATCTCGAAAACTGACATGAGCGCAGATTCCACCTTAGATGTGCTCCAGAGTATCATCAACATAAAGAATGAGTCCAAGCCAGTCTCTTTGAACACTGTGCAAGTCAGTTGGACGAACAACATACAGCAAAGTGATGTTGCTCAAGAGCAGTGTTTTCAAGGCAGCGCAAGTCAAGCTTATTCAATGTGTTCACTACCACAGAATAATGAACCATATGCAATTGGATCTCTGCAAATGCCTCAGGTTCCATCCAACACTCATCAAGATTATAATCCATTCCCTGCAAACTCTCCCGTCCAGAGTTCATTCTTTTCCAATGAATTCCAGAGCTGCTCTGTGGATAGTTATATGCCTGCTGTTGTTGGTCAAGAGACATCTCCAGAAATTGAGCCTGGAGTTAAGGCTATTGAATCATGTATGCCAGCTCCAAACTTTATTCCAACCGCAAATGCATCAACAAATGCTTTTTGGGAGAATCATATAGTTCAGTCTTCACACAATGTGCAGTCTTCACACAGTGTGCAACCACAGCTATGCCTTTCAGACCAAAATAATCCTAACCCCTTTCAAGTGGGAAAGTCATTCTTCCAGTGGCAAATCGAACAGGAAGAACGTAAACTGGCCAATGTCTCAGATGAACAGCTTATTTCTAAAGATTCAGATGGGGATACGTAAGTGTCTTACTATTTTTCTGTTAATTTAAAAATTTGAAGAGATGGGGAGAATGTTTATTTGTTTTCCTGCAGTCTTAAACATAGACTGTTACGGCAGATAAGAACCATTCTGCCATATTTTTTTATTTTTTATTTTTTTATTATTATTTTGCTGCAGACAAGAAAATAAATCTGGGGCAAAGTTCTAAAAATAAAGGAACACCTATCTATACAAATATAATGTTCTCTATAATGCTCTACATTTAGAACTTTGCTTGAGAATATATCTTCAAACGTGGGATAGGCATAAGGCTATCTTAACTATAAGATCAGGCTGGGGACTAATGAAGATATTTAGAAAATTGGGCAGACTAGATGGGCCGAATGGTCTTATCATATCCCCCATTATGCAAGTTCAATATATATCAGGTAACTTACCTGCTGTTGACTTTAATAGGATAAATGTACCTTTTCTATTCTTTAGGTGCCTTCACATTTCTGTTGCACAAGGAAGAAGGCCTTTTTCCTATGTTGTTGCTCGCAGGATGACTGCAATTAATATGTTGGATATTAAAGAACATAATAATCAGGTAAGCGCTTTATGGTACACGTGTAATGTAGGAGAGGTGAGAGCTTTACAGCAGAAATGTTATACAGGGGGGACATTTACATTGCAAGTTTAATGCAGGGCTTGGAATAGTAAATATATTTGCATTTTGTTTTCTAATGTGTCATCTATATAATTTTAGAAAAAAAAAATATCCCCAACATTAAAAATAAAAAAAATGCATTTATTATACATAAGTGTACTTTGAACTACATTTTGATTTTGTGCTTTTGCATACCTTCCTTTTTATTGAGTATATTGATTTCTCTCTTTTTTTTTTTTTTTTGACTAGCTCTATTTAGATGTATGACTAAGAGCAGCAATTCGTTATCACAGTTACTGATAAAAAGTACAAAGTCCACTTGATTTCTGCATGTAAAACAGATATGCAGCATAAATACTTTAAAATGTTTTTCAGTATTAAAGTGTGTGTCTTAATGGTCTTCCTTTTCAAATTTTGCAGAGTGCCTTACAAGTTGCTGTAGCGGCCAATCAGCATCTCATTGTGCAAGACTTAATCAGTCTTGGTGCTGATGTAAGAACTACGGACTACTGGGGAAGAACTCCACTGCATGTCTGCGCGATAAATGGATATACAAAGGTTATTGAAGTAAGTTAATATCTGCCTTCCTTCACAATTGCACGAGCACAATGGCACTCCTTATAAATGCATTGAAATCTGCATACATTCTGAATTAAGCCATGTTCTAACTATATACAATTCTCACAGGCAATCCACAAAGGACTGGCTACCAGCAATCAGTATGTCGATGTGGATGCAATAAACTATGATGGTAAGCTGCAAAATTAAACCACTATCCTTTTGTTTTTAATTTAAAGAACCTGTGATACATTTTCGATAAGAGAAAGTTCAGCAGTTATGTAAACTAACAAAATAAGATTTGTTAAATTGTTTATATTTCATGTTTTCCCCCCTCTTATTTTTTAATTGGTGTAGAATTTTAAAACCATCACTTACAAATGTTTATCTTGATTACGTAGTTTTTTTTTGTTTTTTTTATCTTATAGGTTTGACAGCTCTGCACTGTGCAGTGATTGCCCACAATGCAGTACTGCAGCAGCTAATGAACAATGCACATATTCGTTCTCCGGCAACTGAAGAATTAATGCAGAAAAATAAGGCAATGGTTGACACTGTGAAAACATTACTAATGATGGGTGCATCAGTGGAAGCACAGGTTTGTGTTTGCCATCATCAAGTCTTGTAAATAATTTCTTAAAGTGGCTCTGTCAAACCCCCCCTCCCCAAATTGAGCATTTATTTCAAAGATACAATCTTTTATTTTAAAGGTACACTGTCACCTTTGTTTTACCAAGCTTACTTCTGCCATGTTTTTTTTTAGTTTCCATAGCTGTTACTAGCTACAGCTTTAGGAATCAAGCTTATTTTTATGGATAACAAGGCCTGGTCTATGGATGATCCCATGGACTCACAAAAGCCTCCATAGACGTCTGTATTATACTCACCAGGAGTAGAGCATTGACATGACTCCTGGTGAATGAAGATGGTGGTACTTGCAGGAGATGGCTTGTTTATGCGCCACCTTAAGCAGGGATGTAACCTTCAGAGTTGTGTGCAAAGACACGTGAAGTTGACAGAGGCACTTTAAACCAACATAGCTGCTAGATGTATGTCATAGTGTAGAGAGGGGCTGGAGGAGAAATTAGACTTCTACCAACCTATTTTTTTTGTTTTTGTTTAAGAGTATACCCTTACAAAGATAGAGTTGATTTGTAATCTGTGTGTTTTATACTAAACAGGATCGTAAAAGTGGGCGCACAGCACTGCACTTGGCTGCAGAGGAAGCAAATCTTGAACTGCTAACAATCTTCCTGGAGTTACCAAATTCCTTGTCCTTCATTAACGCAAAGGTGATTATTTTGTTTTCTATATGTTTAAACATTGAATTACTCAGGGCATAGATGTGTACCATGAGTGAATGATTTAAAAAATTTAGGCTTCATTTTTTATTTTATTTTTTTAAACAATTACATCTTTTTGCAGGCCTTCAATGGTAACACAGCTCTGCATGTGGCTGCAAGTCTGCAGTTTAGAAAAACCCATCTAGGAGCTGTTCGACTTTTGATGAGGAAAGGTGCAGATCCAAGTGCAAGAAACTTGGAGAATGAACAGCCAGTTCACCTGGTACCAGATGGTCCTGTGGGTGAAGAGGTAAGAACACTAATCTTCTCAGTATAAATTTTTTTTTTCTTTCTTTTTTTACATATGAAAGCAAAACATATTTCTTGTCCAAAACCACTAACAATGCTGTTAGAACACTGTCGTGTTTAGAAAATGTGCAAGGCTGCCATCATGTGAGCTTCACAGGGCAGCCATTTTATTTGTCATGCATACATGAGTGGCTACTATTGCCATAATTAATCTAACTTTCGTTTAAGCTGTAAACTTACTTTAACTATCTGAGTCCTGTGTCTAAAGAATTTTGTGTTTTGGGATGCTTTTTAAATATTTTTTTTTTTTTTTCTCTTCCAGATAAGACGTGTCCTTAAAGGAAAAGCAGTCCAACAGCGCTCATCACCTTATTAACTTCAGTGACCACTTTTTTTTTCTTAAGAAACACTGCTAGTTAAGCAGTCTTATTATATGTAAATAGGTTTGCCATATGGCAAATATATGTTGGTTTCTATGAAATTCTAGTGTTTTGTTCACTACTGTGTAGTGACTTAATCATTACCCACATCAATCAATAGCAATTTAGTTCTTCCGTCATCATGTGGTTGGCTAGTGTTATGGGTTTAGAGCTTTGGCTATCATGGTCAAATCATTTGACTTTATCAAACTCGTACCAGTAAGTGTATCTGGTGTTTCAAACCTTAATAAATAAATAAATAAATAAATAGTATATAAGTAAGTATAAAGTGTTTTTGCTTTTTAATTTTTAAACCTTTTATTTTAATTTAAAAAACAAAACTTAAAGTGTAAGTGTGTATACACTTTTTAGTAGCTTGCTTTGTATACTTGCATATAAAAGGTACCTACAGTAGAGGATTATTTTAAAATACCATTAAATAATGTAATATTTATATAGTGTTATCAATGTCAACCTACAAATCAAATATAACAATTATGTAAACAGATTTTAGTATTATGTGACACAATATTATTGCGTAAGACTTTTTTATTGATTTTTATATTTTAGGAATTCATCTTGATAGACTCAAGTAATTAACATTTTAATAGCATATACTTGTCTCTTTTGCTGTTTAAAAGTTTTTTTTTTTTTTTTTTTTTAAAGTTCCATATAGTATGTCTTGTAGACAAATATTAAAATATTTGGAATTATGGAGTGTAAATGTTATGTAAGAATGAAAAACTTATGATTTCAATAAAGCTGTACACTGAAATTCACTTTCCTGTTTAATTCATTTTTGCTCAAAATGATCCTTGTAACGGATCCTACTATCCCAGTAGGAGAGATCCTTGTAGCTCCTCACGAAATCCCAGCTGAAGTAGAGCATAGTAGTGATTATAGCTCTCAATCCCCCAAACATTCGAGACTTCATGAAGGGGTAAAACGATCTGTTTAATGGTGGCCACAGCTTGGCCTTTTATGCAGGTCCTCCAGCAAGGGATAATCGCACAGGGACCTTGTGGAGGACTGAAACACAAGTTACAGTAACTAATCATTTTACAGTGCAATATAAAACACACCCACATACAGTGAAATCCCTCCTCTCTATCCTGGAGATAATTGGGTTAAGTGGCCGGAGTAAACTTAATTATGTCCAGGTAGAGAAAATGTTTCCATTTTACAAATGTAACAAAATACATAACTTTTATTTTACCGAACCCCCCCCAGATAGCTTGGAGCCAAGCGCTCAATATAGACGAACAGCGCTCAGATCCCACAAGCACACTCAAACAGCCATGGAGCGTCTGTTCACCCACTGTTCGTTAAACAGTTCGGTTAAATGGAGACGAAACGATGGAATTTGGGTAGTCCCAGTGGTGTTCGTGGGAAATTGTGGCCGAAAATAGTTCCATGCGTTCAACCAAACACCGCTGGGCGTTTGTCAGTTTAAAATGGCCGCCGCCACCTATTCATTCAAAAGAATGGCAACCACCTAGCCGTTCGTCAAATAGTTGTGGTTAACCACAGCTTCTGGGCGATTAATAAGCTGCACACTCCCATTACGTGTGGTCTGGCTGTTCGGTAGTTTATTCGTTTTTTAAGAAAAGGGAATGGAATAAGGCTAAATGCACGAACAGCAGATGAAATAAAGGGTCCTGGTATTCACAAAACAGGGTTTTGTCACAATCCCACATTACACTTTATTAGGGTTTACTTAAAGGAACACTTATAGCACCATAACCAGTACAGTTTTATAATGGTTTGACTTGTTACCTGGGGTCAGCAAGATGCAGCTTTCTGTCTCCACTACTTCCAACAGAGAGCCAAAGCTCCAGCTTCAAAGGTTCTGTTCGCTTTCCTGAGTTAAGCCCTGCAGCACTGGGCATAGCTCAGAGTAGGGATCGACATATCTGCTGATATTCTGTATTTTCGGCAATATCGGTATCGGCCTATAGAGATACCGATATTGCCAATAATACATACCTGGACTGCTGGGCCCTTTACAAGCCTGGCGGTCCTATAGGGCCCGCAGCAAGCTCTTATATTTACCTTCCCAGCAGCTCCTCTGTGTAAATCTTGCGAGTCCAATGGCCGTCAGAGCATTGCCACTGGTTAGTATTGCAATGCTCCGCGTGGCACACAGGCCGCGAGAGTTGGGCAAGTAGCTTAAGGGAGCTGCTGGGAAGGTAAGTAAGAACTTGCTGCAGGCCCGCCACTGTACAGTCCATGCCACTGGACCACCAGGGAATGCCATATTCCCCCCTCCATGGCCAAGTAAGAAGCAGGGAGGGGGGGACTAAAAAAAATTACCTACAGAAACACACACTGCATTCCCTATACACAGACTATACAAACTCTGCATTCATTATATATACACACTACACAAACACCGCATTCACTATATACACACAAACACTGCATTCACTTTACGCACACTGCATTCACTATACATACACACTACACAAACTCTCACTGCATTCATTATACACTGCATCCACCATTGGCGTACATACTGGGGTCGCAGGGGTCACAGCACCCAATAGAAACAATGTTTGTCTGGACATGGTTTACAATGAACAATATTGATCTTTTGTTACACATTCAAGTAATCGAGCACTTGTAAAATAGTGATACACATAATATGGGCAGCTTTATAACTCACTGACTGAAATAAACTCTTTGGTGAAAACAAAACAAACCACAGAGGATAAATGGAATATCTGTAAACATATATATATGAAAAGTACTCTTCCCGTGACAAATCATTAGGTAACAAAAATAATAATAAAAAAATAAATAAAACCAACGTGTCTTAGTAGGTTGATAAGCCAAGGAATTAATAATAGAAATTTAAAGCATTTAAATCAGATAAAACAACAAATAGGACAAAATAACAGAAAAAGTCAATGTGCATAACTATTCACCCCTCTAAAGTCAATACTTTTTAGAGCCACCTTTTGCCGCGATCACAGCTCCCAGTCGCTTTGGATAAGTCTCTATGAGCTTGCCACATCTTACCACTGGGATTTTTGCCCATTCCTCCTTGCAAAACTGCTCCTGCTTCTTCAAATTGGATGGTTTGCGCTTGTGAACAGCATTCTTTAAGTCTGACCACAGATTTTCTATTGGATTGAGGTCTGGGCATTGACTAGGCCATTCCAACACATTAACATGTTTCCCCTTAAACCACTCAAGTGTTGCTTTAGCAGTGTGTTTGGGGTCATTGTCCTGCTGGTAGGTGAACCTCCGTCCTAGCCTCAAATCATGCACAGAGTGGTACAGGTTTTGCTCAAAGAATATCCCTGTATTTAGCACCATCCATCTTTCCCTCAACTCTAACCAGTTTCCCAGTCCCGGCTGCTGAAAAACATCCCCACAGCATGATGCTGCCACCACCATGTTTTACTGTGGGGGTGGTGTTCTATAGGTGATGTGATGTGTTGGGTTTGCGCCAGAAAATGGCAGAAAAGTTAAATTTTAGTCTCATCAGACCAGAGCAACTTCCTCCATACATTTTGGGAGACTCCCACATGCCTTTTCTCAAATTCAAAACGTGCCATATTGGTTTTTGCTGAAAGTAATAGCTTTCTTCTGGACACTCTGCCATAAAGCCCAACTCTATGGACCGTACGTCCTGTGTACAGATACTCCAATCGATGCTGTGGAACTCTGCAGCTCCTCCAGGGTTACCTTATGTCTCTGTGCTGCCTGCTGTTGTGCCATGTTCTTTCCATTTGGTTATGATAGATTTGATGGTGCTCCTGGGGATCATCAAAGATTTGGATATTATTTTATAACCTAACTCTGACTTGTACTTCTCAACAACATTGTCCCTTACTTGTTTGGAGAGTTCCTTGGTCTTCATGGCACTATTTGGTTAGTGGTGCCTCTTGCTTAGGTGTTACAGCCTCTGGGGCCTTTCAAAGAAGGTGTGTGTATATGTAATGACAGATCATTCATGTGACACTTAGATTGCACACAGGTAGACATCATTTCACTAATTATGTCACTTCTGAAGGTAATTGGTTGCACCAGAGCTTTTTAATGGGCTTCATAACAAAGGGGGTGAATACATACGCACATGCCAATTTTCTGTTTTCTATTTCTAAAAAATAGTTTTATGTATATATTTTTCTCATTTCACTTCTCCAACTTAGACCATTGTGTTCTGATCCATCACATAAAATTCAGATTAATAAAACATTGAACACCGCTAAAACCTCCAACGTCGTCTAAGTTCGTGAAAACCCACCCGAACAGAGCAGTATTCTCTGGGAATAACTACACGAACGAGGGGATTATGTCGAACTAAGCCATGAACACTCTAGCTCTAGGATTTCATATGTTTTGGCTCCTCAAACGGAGAACGACCGCACAGCCCTTTCGCGTGGAACTATTTTGGTCATACACCTCGTGTGCGGTTGGTAAAACTAAGATTTCCAGGAAATTGGCGAACCCCTGAATCGATCTGGGTGATTTTTCAGTATGTTGTTCACCCAGATCGGGGCTATCAGGGGATATGTAACTTATGGGTGTATGTTATGGTTTTGGGGTACATCCAAGAATTGGGGAAAAATTTGTTTTTACAACTTAAAGATAATTAAGTTCTCTCTCATGCTGAGGGGAGGGAATATGTGTACTGTATCCATCTATTGATTGGCTGATTCTTAATTCTCTGTGGGTGTCTCCCTTGCATGGGAGAATTGCATAAAAGCCGAGTGTGTGGCAATTAAAAAAAGCTCTGCTCCTGATACTGAATGTCGTCCAGTTATTGGGAAGGGTGATGGGAGATTCGCAGATTTGCTTGCTGTTTATACTGTTCTTCTTGTAATATCCTGCTTGTTCCTGAGTAGCTGTTGGAGTACCAGTGGAGGAGAGTACATGCTAAACTAGTGCTCCGCTACATGCCTCTTTATAAATCAATCATAAAAGCACACCTTGAAAATGCAGTACA